ATGCAAAAGGGATCAGAACAGAATACAAAAATTGCCAGTCAAAAGCCCTTATTGCCATTTTATACCATCTTTACATTTTTCCAGTAAACATTATGTCTACTGTATCTTTCTCCTGTTTGCAGAGAGAGGAATAAAAGGCATGCTTGCTGTGCAGGATCTAAATGGCATAGTGAATTTTCGCTTGAGAAATATCGAATTTGCAGTTGCAGCATGAGGGGAAAAGAGAGGAAAGTGACTGTGGGGTCATTTTCTTGCAGGACACTGTCAATTGACTCCCAGATGTTAACTAGTTTCCCAGTCTGAATAACCATTTGAGCCGTTTAGGATGGAGTGTTTTAGTACTACTCACGAGTATGTGGCAGTGAGTGTTTTAGGACCAGTCTACCTGTTCATCCAAATAAAGCTTTTCTTAGGCCATACTATAGGTTTTGGGTGCTTGAATGCTCTTCTGCTGAGAAGCACATTGGGGAAGTGTGGACACCATGCGTGTTGGAAAAAAGGACACGAAGGAACACACACAGCTGATCCTTCTCACGAGCATCCTGGTGTTCTTATGCAGAGAGTTTTGTCCATGGTTACTATAATGGTAGAAACTAAGAAAATGTACTGCTACCTAATTCTGCAGAATATGTTAACAGAGCCTTAATGCTGACAAACTTGTAGGGAGAAGTTCACAATTAGTTAATTGCTGTGAATGAGTTTCAGGAATTTAAAGACCTGGTGACTTAACTAGTGCAAGATCAGAACTAAGCATTTTTCCCTAAGCAGGAAAGGCATTATTTTAAAGCTCTTGTAAAACCTTGTGCAGCAGTTCCGCTTTTCTACAAGGTTCTACTTTTGTGGAGCAATTTGTTGTGCTTGACTCCAAAATTCCTTTTCAGAATTACAAGTTCAAAGCCACAAATCTTAAACCATCTAATCCTGTGGAGCTAAGTCGGAGCATGCAAACCAGCTTAGTAAACTATCCAAATGCAGAAGACCAGAGTCCCCATGGGATCTGGTGGTAAACGGTCACAAGATGAGGAGATTCCTTTCAGGGTGTTCCAATATGCTGTTCACTCTGGCTTCCCACTTCATTTTATTCCCCTTCCCACTCTTCTCTCTCCCCCCTACCCATAACACATCATGTATTGTGCTTAAATTTGGCCAATTAAGTCCAGCAGATTTTGGAGCTGCTTCAAAGCTTTATAGTGCGAGTCTGAGATGGGAGCTTCTCTCTGCTGTTTGAAAGTGGGATTGAAGTGAATTGGAAAGTTTAGCCTTTCTTAGCAGGTTTGCAGGGAAGGAAGTGGACAACCTGAGGGGGAGGCATAGTGATGGGGTAGAGGCCTGGCAGTCTGACCATTTCAGAGTAACAGAAAAGCGGGTTTCAGTGGCACAGGTAGCTCAGAATTTAATGATGTCACAATGGGAAAAAGAAAGGCTTAAGCAGAGCATGCTGGAAAGGCACTAGGGGGCACCTGGGCTGGTAGAAGGTCTCCATCTTTGGGAATACAGAAGGACTGACATGGTTCCTGAGCTTTGGTGTAGGCAGAAGTTAGAGGACCCTATTTGTAGAACTGTGGTCTTCTAGCAGTTGTTAAATGACGGGCGCTTATGCTGTTGGGTCTGAATTGCTTGGGCTCTTCATGATCTATGTCTTTATTCATTCCCACCTTCCTGATGTTGAGTTTCCATAGATTAAAACTGGAACCTTTGTACATGCAAAGGATGTTTGCCACCATTTAACGACCCATGCTCCTGAATCAACACAGAAAATGAGGGATGATGATAACTTTGATTCTTTCTAGAACACTATAAAAGCACGCTGAGGGAACAGTCGTAAGAGCTTTTATCAAACGGCAGTTAACGCCTGGTTTTGTAATGGTGCAAGCAAATCTCAAGAGAAAGAACTTGGCTCAGGGGAGGGGTCATAGTACAGTGGAAGAAGGCATGCCTTACATGCAAAAGGCTCTCAGATTCAATTTCTGGCATTCCCTGATAGGGCAGGAAAACCTCTTGCCCAAAACCCTGTAGAATCAGGGCTTGTCCCCATCCACAGTACTGGGTTTGATGCTAGATATTGCACTGTGCAGGATGCAAATTCTTGGTGGCCTACAGACTTTCAAAAATAAATTGGAAGTTCCATATATTGAATAAGCAAACATTTGGGTTTGTTTAAGGGATTATTTTATTTTCCTGGGGAAAGCTGTTCTGTCAGTGCTGTTTGTTTTGACATGAAACCAAGGAGGAAGAGCAAGGGCTGGGTTAGTTGAGCCTTTGGGGGAGAGGCTTAGAAGGCGCATGGAAAGGGGGTAGATTTGACAGTATTGTATTACAAGGTGGTCTGAACAGGCTCCGAGGGGATCCAAAAATAGTGTTCTCTTATGCAGCAGTGTATCACCGTTGAGGTATTCTGCCAAGTGGCTGCGCTGCACCTCTTAATGTGCTCCCTCTTTTGAAGAAGACGTCATCTTGGCAGCTGCTAAAATGCTGGATGTAAAAGGTGCCAAACAAATTAAGAAGTCTAATCTTTTCTCCTCAGAGGCAAACACATTTAAATGTTGGCTATAGGAAGCTAAACATGGATAACTTAAGGGAAGAAAATAAATACAGCCATTGAACTAACGCTGTTGCTTGCTTGCAGCTTCTACTCATAATCCTTTCCTCAGATTTCTGGTGTTTTCTGGAATGTGTTCAAGCTTCTTTGAAGCAAGCCTGTATCCAATAATGGAAGAAAGAAATTAGATGGAGGCCATCACTTGCTGGGGTGTAAAAATTATGATTACAGAATGAAATATATTACCTGGGAAAAGTAAGGGCAAAATGCTGCCAATATGAGAGAGGGCTGCATATGTAAAGCAGGGCCTTTTCTGCACTTACCCTGAAGCTATAATCGGTCTCCCTGAATAGGAATGGCGATGTTGCTTCCATACGTAGTCAGTGGATCCAGTGTTGCTGCCATCCCACACTGCCTTTGCCTCTGGTAAAAGAAACTTGTGATAGGAGTTAACTAGGTGACATCCAATCTCAGAAGAAGCCCATTGAATTGAATGGGTCTTGAGTTAGACGAACAATTCACCCCTAACCTAACCCCACCCCTTCAAGCACTGACCTGAAGTAAGAAAAACATTACACACAACCAAGTTGTCACACTCCCCACTCCCTTTGCTAACTGTTACTGAGACGATCCTGGTCATCGGCAGCCGCACACTTCCAGTAATACCTAGTTAGGATCTAATGTTGTTATTTCAGAGAATATGCAGATTGAAACTGAGACTTGTGTGCATGTTCAGACAGGAAAAAAGCCCTACTAATCCCAGCCAGCCATACTGAGATTTTAGGTCCTGAATGCTGGGATTTGTAGGATCTTTGGCCATATAAATATGCATAGGATTGTTTCCTCAGAATGGTTTTTTGGCCACTGCTGCTGTTTCTGAACTTTTTTGAGAAGCGTCAGGCAGCTGCTGTTTTTGGTGGGACTATGTTTCGAAATTTGCAACTTCTTATGGAAGTCTTAGATTTCTAGGAAGCATAAGCCACTTCAAGAATTTGGAGAGGCAGGGATTAATCGGAGGTTAAGGATGGTCTAAATATTGCTACTGATTTTTGCTTGTGGTGGGTATAATTCAACAAGAGAACAACTCAGCAAGTTGAAAATGTGGGCATCCCATTCAACTGGAGTTGGAGGCTTTGGACAAGTATGGCAGGACCCATCTTTTCACGTGTCAGCCTCCCACAGATCAATTCAAATCATCAAACCATAGACTAGATATAGGTAATCTGTTGCCTCCAGATTATTTTGGCTACGACTTCTGTAATCTTTTACAGTAAGACCATGCATGTTGGGCCAGTCTTCTGGGACACTGTAGTCCAAAACTTCTGAAAAGGACCAAGGTAACCATTCTTGCCATCTCTGACAAAGAGGGTTGCTTGTGTATTATGCATCCATGTTCCCCAACAGCTATTGCTCTCGGGGTGCTTTACAAAAGATAGTTGCACTGTGAGATCATTTTTAGTGTGAGTAACTCTTCAATCTGGATTGGTGATACCAATCTTACATTCAAAGTCATGAGTAAATGCCTCTTTCTAGTCCAGTTTAGAGCTGGGCACATGGCTTCTTCATATTTGATCTTTCAAAATTATGTGATCTTTTATGATAATGTCATTCCATTTTTCATTCTTCTTAAAAGTTAATTTTGGGTGCTGATTACTACTTCATACTGCTGCATTCCCAGTTCCATTCAGGATCAAGAAAAAACTAGGAGTACTTATTAAGCAGATCAATGATGCTAGTGAATTAGACCTATTGATTTTTGTATCCATTGTACACAGAGCTCCCTTGAAAGATGTTTCAGCTAGTACAATATGGCACTGAGGATTTTAATTGGGACTACCAGTTAGGATCATATTATGCTGGTACTTTTTCACCTTCCCTGTTTCCAGTTAGTTTCTGGCCCAATCTAAAGTGCTCTTTGTGATCTATAAAGCGCTACATGGCTTAGACTGTTGTTTCTGATGAAATGCCTCCTCCCATATTAAGATACTCATGCTCCTACCTTAAGATCACTTAATGGAAGACCTCCTTTGAGTGCCACTTCAATCTAAGATCAAGGAAAGGAGGAGGCATTTTTTAATGGTGACTTCTTGGCTTTGGAACATTTTCCATAGGGAAGCTTGTCTGACACCCACACTGTTATCTTTTGGGGGCCAGGCCAAGACTTTTTTTGTTCCTCCCAGCATTTCAAACATTTTATTAAAATATTTTAAGTATGTTGGATTTAATGCTTTGGTCTCTGGCTCCTGATGGTTTGTTGTAGCTTTCTATATTGTATTGCACTGCGTTGCTGTGTGTTTAGTTTTATGCCCTTCTGGATTTCAATGATTCATTGTGTTTACTGCTGTTTTGTTATAGTGGTGGAGAGCTAGTTTTATGAGGTGTTCCATAAATACATCAGATTAATATTAAACCAAAGACAACGATAACCAGGCACCCCTTTGTTGTTCCCTCCCTTTTCCAGAGCCTGTCCCTGCCTTCTCCTCCTGGCAGCGTGATGGCGTAGATTCCGACGAAGCCCGCCTCTCCCCACAGGCTGGCCGCCTCATCCGCCAGCTTTTGGACGAAGATAGCGACCCAATGCTGTCCCCTCGTTTCTATGCCTACGGGCAAAGCCAGCAGTACCTGGATGACACAGAAGTGCCTCCGTCCCCTCCCAACTCTCATTCATTCATGCGGTAGGTTGCTAGGCAGTGACGCAAAAGGATCCCCGATTTGCCTTCCAGGAGGCCATAACTAGAACATCAGTTTGCAGCAGAAAACATGAATGAGACTAATGGAACAAGGGCAATATCTCCTCCTTCCTGGCAGGAATGTTTCAGGTTCCAGCCAGCCATTCCATTTTCTTCTTCCCATACTCTGTTGTCCTTATTGCCCTAGCCTTTTGGCAAGAGGAGGCTCCTCTTCAGGGCTTTGCTTTTTCATTTGTTTTGCTGTACTGTAGCCCTTGGGGTTCACCCAAACAAGCCAATAACCTGCCACTTGTTTCTCGGGGGCTGTCTTGGCTCCATTTCTGTTGGCACTCAGCACCTGAGAGTATTAGAGAGAAGGATGGTAGGGATAGAATGTACCACTCTAGACTGCATGGGGACAACACCCTATTTTAAAATAGTTTTCTTGTTTGAACTCCCTGTGAAGTATAAAACTAGAATATTAAAGAGGGGTTGATCTCACAGTTTTCTCCTTGCAGGGAGTATTTTTCCCGGGGATGTGGTGAGGGCAGGCTAGGGTATTTCCCTACCTATCAGTCTCAAAGGATTTGGCCTACTCCACTGCTCTGTATTAGTACCACTTTGTTCTACTCTGTGTGTGTCTGAACCAAGCTTTAAAGGTACAACCCATGCTCAAAAGTGCACTGTGACTTGTTTAAGCACTGCTTGCTTCAAGAAAGCAACTTAGCTTGGCGGAAGGTCCCAAGTTTAATACTTAGTTTCTCTGGTCAACAAGATCAGGTAGCAGGTGAAATGAGAGACCTCTACCTGAAACCCCAAATTGCTGCTGCCAAATTGAAATAAATAGTATTATGCTAGACGGACAAATAATCTGACATTCGACCTGGTAATGGTGGTGGTTGTGGTATTGTTATTGTTATTTCTTCCAGTACTGCTCAATAACTGTAATTCGCTGGACAATTTGCAGTAGTTCGTAAAATCCAGACCATGAATGCAGTAAAAAGGATAAAATGTCAACATGCAAAATTTAAAAAAGAATTGAAAACAATTTGACTAGCAAAAACAGTTCCAATGCCTAGGGCCATATAAGTGCCCCCCATATGGCATGAAATGCCATTGGATGCTTTGGCAGAAAGAGCAGTCTTAACTGTACACCCCAGGGATGAAAGAGTTGGCACCACACAGGCCTCGGTGGGGTGATTATTCCGTAATTGGAACCATCACTGAGAAGGCTTTCCCATGTTTCCTCCCTCTGAGCGTCTCTCAGCAGTGGTACTTAGAGGATGCCTTCAGGTGTTGATGGTGATATCCAGGGGCAGGTAAAAGGTAGATTCTCATGCTTCTGTGGCAAAATCTTACTTATATCTTGGAATTTGATTTTCTCTGTGGCAGGTATAGCCCTATTTGTTTATTCTATAATTTGCCCAGTAAACAAGTATTCTCTGGGTAGATTACAAACATTAAAACAATAAATAAGAGACAATAAAAATCACTCTTACATTACCTGTAATAGCCAATTTGGCATTGCTGTTAAACTGAGATCCATTGTGAGATCCAGGTTCACATCTCCACTGGGCCATAAAGCCCACTGGGTGACCTTGGGACAGTCACTGGCTTTTCTCCCAAACCTACCTTGCAGGGTTATTGTGAGGATAAAATGGAGAGGAGAGGATCATGTGCACTGCCTTGCGGGGCTCTTAGCAAGAGGAAGCGATAGAGTATCAATGGAATATTAAGTGTATGGTCTGAAGGCACATGAGGCATCCCCCATGTTAAAGCGAAGCAGGTCTGGGGGTGGCCTGAGCTTGGGGGGAGACCACCTGGGAACCGCATGTAGCCCCTCGAGCCTCGCAATGGGAGAAAGGTGGATAGGAATAGAAGTATGAAAATAAAATTAATGAATACACCGGTGGGATCAGCAATAAAGCCATCACCTTCATTGCAGGAGAAGAAGTTCTTCACTGGGGTCTCACGAGGAGGACCAGGAAGATCTGACTCCTGCTCAGCTGACCCGAAGGATCCAAGGACTGAAGAAAAAGATCAGGAGGTTTGAAGACAAATTTGAAGAGGAGAGGAAATACAGAGTAAGTTCCTGGAAGCCTGCGTTGCATTGATCAAGGGAGGCCTTTCTCCCCTGTTGCTAAACAGACCGTCGCGACTTGCCTGAACATCCTGGGATCGCATGGCGAAGTGGCATATCTGATCTGCTACTAGCACAGCGGCAAATTGGTTGGCAACCTTTTAGGACAGGTGTGGGCCAGACCTGGCCTTCCAGATGCTCTTGGTCTGTAACTCTGCCAGTGTCTTGCCTTCAGCCAGGCTGGCTGGAGCTGATGCGTGCTGTAGGCCAAACTGTCTGGATTCTGGAGGGCCACAAGTCACCCACCATCTTTCAGTCCCACATTGCAATCTTATTTATTTATTTATTATTTAGAAAACTTCTATGCCGCCCCTTCACTGAAGCCTCGGGGCGGCTCACAAACATAAATAACTTCGTTAAAATAATATAAATTAACAGTATAAATTAAGTCGCCCTGGCCAGAGAATGAAATAAATACATACTATTAACAGTTAAAATGACATTTGAATAAAAAGGTCTTATCACCTTTAACCTGTGCATAACTCTCACTGATGTCTGATCAGATAATGGACTGCTGAGTGAAAATATGCACAGGATAAAGTTCTTGATCCTTTTCAAGTGGTTTAGAAATGATAAAATTTTGTGTGAAATAAATTTAAGATTGTATTTCCTTCCATGTTTTCTGATTTTTGAAATTCTTTGATATCTGCCAATAAAAAACATTCCACTGGGGATTCAATTTTGATAATAAAGTATTCTCTTTAATATTTAATCTGCATATGACATGGCAGAGGAGTAAAGAAATCAAATAAACTTTTTCAGTACAGACCTTTGTTTCCATTTCTGCTGTCTTCATTCACAAAATAACAACATATCCCTCTATCTGCGTCCCCTTTCCCCTTTCCAGCCATCACATAGTGACAAAGCAGCCAACCTAGAAGTGTTGAAGTGGACAAATGATCTTGCAAAGTTTCGAAAGCAGCTGAAAGGTAGGTGGCGAAACTTGGCACAGAGATTTTGCATAGACTTTGGATTCATCGGAATTGTTCTATAGTAGTTCTACAGTATCTCATTGGAGCGTCTGTCACCAAAAATCCACTTGTTCCTATTTCTTTTCCAAACTAGAGTCAAAACTGAAGATGTCAGAGGAGGACCTGGCTCCAGTAATGCGCCAACGTAGTAATACACTCCCCAAAAGTTTTGGCTCTCAGTTGGAGAAGGAGGAAGAGAAGAAGCAAGATGTGTCTGATAAATCAACCAAGCCAGCAGTGGAAGCAACCCTGGAATCCATCCAGAAGAAGCTCCAGGAGAAAAGAACTGAGGCAAACCGACCTGAGGACATTAAGGTACAATTAAAAGTGCGAAATTAATTTCCAAGAGCAATAAAGGACAGACTTTTAAGTTGCTGCTTTTAAATCAAACTCCCCATCTAGAAATTCATTACATTTTCTAAAAATATGTGTGTAGAAACGAGGTGATAAAATAGGTAAAATAAAATAGGTAACCTCAATAAAATAGGTAAAGCCTATTGATTTTCAATTCTCTGAAGACTTTTATGTGACTTAGAAGTATACCTGAGAACAGTTTGTTATGCAGCCTAGTTATCTTTTTGCACTCATGAATACCTGTTCCAAAGGCTAGAAATTAATGGATTTCTGTTGGACATGGCACTCATGAAAGCACACTAAGCCAGATTATTCTCTAGAAGGTTAAGGTAGCAATCCCAACCACATTTTCTTGGGAGCAAACCCAGTTAGAATTGGTGAGACCTCTGAGTAAACATGAAAGGATCATGCCATAAGGCTGCAGAGGAGGACAGTGAAATTTTATTTCTCAGAATAAATATTAGAAAGAGGTCAGTACCCAAGAGTTACAGGAGCAGCATCGGATCCTTACTGTTCAGGGCAGTGTTTCGGCATGCAATGGGAAGTAAATTTCCAAGCTGTTTGGTAGGTGAAAAGTCATATGGCGAGAGCCAGTTACAGAATGCTGATACTTAGAAAGTATAAGGTTGAGAAATTCAAGAAGATTGCTGCATTTTCCTTTGCCCTGGCAAGCACTAGCATGTTGCGTTAGTGTTGTTTTGCAGAGGTGCAGTGTCACCAGCATTAACACCACACTGCTGTTGAGGACTATCCCTGATTTCTGTATGAGCTTCCCAGACTTTTCTAATGTAATAGCAAAATAGTATCTTCTAGATCCTGGCACCTGCATGACTCAACCACCCCCGATTCCAGAAGGAATCCCACACTAATTAGAATAAGCAATAAATAATATAATTCTGTCCTATATTTCTGTGATGCTTGAACTTGAAAGCTCAATATTTTCCCTGGTGTTCAATTCTTCAACATTGAAAAGCTGCCTTTAATTCAGTCAGCTTTGATAGTAGGTAATGGATCCAGTGTTAAGATAGCTGAAGTATAAGCTTCAAAATGTTAAAAAACAAATTTGAATCAGCTGCAAGCAAAGTTATGTGTAAAAAACAAAAGACCATATCATGGGAATTTTTTTTTTGAAAATCCGCTTTGAATACAAAAAGGCCTGACTCATTTTTTCCACTCATTGATTTTATCCTGTGACCCGTGTGGAAAGGGAGAACTTACCACAGGAATGATGGTTTTGGCAGCATCCCCATGATGTGGCATAACAGCTGCTGCTTCTGTAAAACAGGGTAGTTAAAAGGTACCAAAGGGTGTCTCATTTGCATGACATGCTGTGATGAAAGAACCCCTGGGTGAACAGTTGACTTAATACGCGAGTTGCACCAGAGAAGGTCATCAGCGAAAGAATAATGAAAATGCTGAGCAGCAACTGATGGGATTGTTGTACTGATTATTGAGATAACAGCGGCAAAGAACTTTGATGTGCAGGAATAACACTGAGAACGTTGGTGCCTGTCATTGCAGCTCTGTTGGTCTTCTTGCAGGCATGCGAGGAAGCCCTTTGGCAGATCTTGGGTGGTTTTGTCCACCCTGCATGAAGATGACCTTGGCTTTCCTTACTTTAAGGCTTGCCACTAATGCTGATATATGTGAGGTGGCATTGATTCCCTTGTGGGTATTTTACCACAGGCTGATAGGAATAATAATTTTGCAGGCACTGGAAGGTGTTTTCTAGGAGCAAAGATAGTTATTCCAGCATAAGCTTTCATGGGAATGGTCTGAATCATCACATTCAAGGTCAAATTGGCAGATTTATATGTACTTGCTAGTGGTGGGGATATAATCTGTACTGTCAGCAGAAATTGACAACAATTCTGTCCTTTTTTGCATTTCAATTTGCTCTAGCAAAACGGTATATATCTTCCTCCAGCTGCTACATGAATATATAAATCTGCCAGTCTGAGTTTAGCACCCTGTGCATTTGATGAACTGGACAAAGTCCATAAATGAATGAATTCGTTAGTCTTCCAAGGTGCTTCATTGCTCAGGAAAACAAAAACAAGACTCAAGAGCTCTACATTGTAAGCATTGTGAATCAGGATGTTGCATGATTTGGGGCAGGGAAAAGACTGGAATGCATAAAAACAGCAGCATTCCCAGTAAGTTTATAACTTTTCTTTCTCTCTCTTCATCCCCCTCTTTCTCCCTCCTCTCTTGCCTTATGCAGGATATGACAAGAGACCAAATAGCAGCAGAAAAAGTGGCTCTGCAGAAAGCCCTCTTATATTACGAAAGCATCCATGGAAGACCGGTAAGACAGCCTTCATATCAGACATGCTCAGTGCTGGGGGAATTCTAGTATCCATGTAGGAAACCTCACTTGTTTCTTAATGTGAGTGAATGTGCCAAAACACAGATGTGGTCTGTTCCTGGACACTGAGCTGTTGTCTTGCTACAGAGAAAAGACTTGTCCTTCCATGCAGGGTTATCTATAGTGATTCGTCCCAGCTTGTAGATAGTTAAGAGAGCAACTGTATGGAAGGGTGGGCATTTTTTTTAAAAAGGCCTGCAAGTTCCAGCGTGTTTCAGCTACAATTGCATGGGATTGCATTTTCAGAACATTTCATGTTCTTTCTGCCCTTTTCTTTCTCTTAAGAAAAAAAAATATAGCACATTAAAAATATTCTGTTGCTGTACAACTGTGAATCCATCTGTTATTTGTAACTTCACTCCTTAAAATCAGGACTATGTAAATAGATATTCCCACATACAGCCCATTTCTCCCTTTAAAAAACAAACTCAAACAAGGCACATTGATCAGACCCCCACAGAGTTAAATATGGAAAAAAAAATTATGCATTATACCCTTAAGCTTTTATTTCCCCTTTCTTCCAATTTGGTATGTTTCAACAATAAACGAACAACTTTCTTAATCTGCAGATAGATAAAATAGAACTTCATTTTTTCTGCACTAAATGCACTAAAATTTGAGTGTTAATATATATTTTCCAAATCCTGCAAATATTTCAATATGTTAAAGCATACGAACAACACTTGGAGTGGAAATATGACATTTAAAATGTGAAAACCATGGAGAAGAAACTGTGAGGCAAGCTGTTGCTTAAAAGACAATCCACCAGCACACTATTTACAATGTATTTGTACTCAGGCCTTGAATAAAGACATAGATTTTTCTTGTGCAAGATTAACCTCTTCAGTCACTGAAACAAAATGCAGTGCACTAGATTTTCCTCACAGAGTTGGCTTCTTCATAGGGAACTTTTCTTAAAGGAAGACCTCCAGACTTGCTTTTCAGCATGAGTTCCAAGCCCCATATTCTCATCCCGGTCTCATATGGTCTTGTCTAAAGGGCCATATTATTTGTCTCCTATTCCTGGCCTCGTGTTATTTGCCAGCATTTTGGCATTCGTTGGAACAAGCTGCTAATTTAAAATTGACGTCTCCGAGAGACACTTCATACATACGCTTTGAGTGGGTGTAAATTACACGTCCCCTCATCGTGTCCTTGCGTACCTTGAGTTTGGCAACTGTCTTGCTGGACGGGGCCTATCCATTTCCTCTAGCATTGACCGTCCACAGCTGTGTCCATGCTTTGCCATGGCGTGATGAACCAGGCCATATGACTGGCTGCTCTGTAGACTTGTTTTTCCTTCTCCCCATTCTCCTTTTTCCCCATTTTTTTTGCACTTATTGTACCTAAAATATCTGCTACTCAGACCATTGTCCAAGCATTACAATTGCCATTCTTTTCGCCTCCTCAGAAATAATGCTTTACAGTCCCTGCCTGAAATTAATGACATGATTATTACTGTCAACACTTCCGTTAGCGGTTTCAAGGAGTGTTACAGTTGCAACAGGGGGAAAACAATTCCAAATAAGTTATTTAACATGTCTGCCTCCTCTCAAAAGCCAAGTTCCACTCTCTTGTTGCTATGATCTTGCAGATCTTAATAGAATTAATGATGTAGCGCTAATAAAATGCAGAGAAGGTCCGCAGTTGGATTCCAGAAGTCTCTGCAATATTTCAGGCTTCCTCTTGATAGATGAAAACACTTTTTTAAAAAATTGCAGATGGGAGCAGCAAACATAATTGCTGCAAATTTTTTAGATAAAGTGGAGCCAAGAACAGACTTTGAGTCTCTCAGAGACAGTAAGATGTTTACTTTCCAAGTTGGTGTTGCTGGTAAAGAGGAAACCTTAGAACTGCAGGTGGTAACTTCGTGGTCCTTCTCTGGGAGCTTGCCATGAAGGATATAAGGAAGGTGGCTACCTGGAGAAGGCACTTTTCAACCTGGTCCCCCATCTATGGAACCAGCTTCCCAGAGAGGTGCGCTTGGTGCCAACCCGATACACTTTTTGGTGCCAGGCTAAAACCTTTTTTATTTTCACAGTATTTTAACTGTTGAACATTTTAATTCTTAGCTTGCTTTATATGACACTGTTGTTATTTATCAGTTATTTATTTGTTTTAAATTTTTAATATTTTGTAAGCCATCCAGAGAGTCATTGACTAAATAGGAATGGTATAAAATGCCAGCCATACATACATACATACATACATAAATGTACATTATTAATGATGATGACCATTTAGATAGCAATAATTTTATGAACTTAAAGGCATGTTGTTCTATTGCAGAACATTAGTTCAGTTGTATATTACAGAGAGTAAATTCCACCTGCAATTCTCTGACTGAAAGTGACGCATTCCCAGGTCTCCTGCCTTTTCTTGGCATTGGTTGGTGTTGTGAAATAGGTTCATCAGTCCGCCTGCAGGGACTAATTTATCGCCCACGTGAGAATGGGAGCCCTTGGTATCAAGGGGTTCTGGTGCAATGTGGCAAAGAAGGAAGCCAAGAACCAGCAGCTCTTTGTGTATGTACGGTATCACTTGAGCTCCTTGCCAATAGTTCCAAGCTGACTGTTTCTAGGCCTGCCTTCTTAAGCAGGACAGGGAGAAAAATTACTCTTAGTTTGAACACCAATCCAGGCAGTCATTAGGTCCTTGCTTCTCCTGCGAGTTTCAGCGGGGGACAATAACAGAGAGCCCTCCAAATCTTTCACTGCCACCTGCATTCAGCCAAATGTATTTTCTTCTTTCCAGGTCACAAAGCATGAGCGGCAGATGATGAAGCCCCTGTATGACAGATACCGCTTGGTCAAGCAGATCCTCTCGAGGGCCAACTCCATCCCTATTATTGTGAGTACGGCCCTTTTCTATGGGAGTTCAGCTTAGTGTCAGTCTTGGCCGCGTGTGAGGAAGGTTCCTGTTTTTGTGCACTGCATTGACCCCCTTTTCCTCAATCTCACCCAAGTCCCTCCATTTAGTGCCAGCTAGACCGGTGCGTGTCCCAAGAAAGCTGAGGGAAGATGGAAGATTCAAGAGTCGGTCCCATGGCACAGGGTACTTGTGCAAGGTGTTTCTGTGGCCCCTTGATGCTAAACTCAGACATTTGAAAAGAATTTTCCGCAGTGAAGGTCCAGCGGTGGCACAGGAGGCTCTCGCCCCGACATTGCTCTGTGATTCACACAAGCAGGATAGTCCATGCTGTAACCCCCTGCTGTGGTTTTCTACTACCACACAAGTGAGCAGTGGGACAAGAGGAGAGACAAGCCCATCGTCTCAGGAGTATGTCCATCTTCTGAGGACCGGATATGCTGAATGAACATTGCTTGAGCCCTTGGAGGCACAGGATAATATTCTGCACTGCTCACCCTTGTTCCTCTTCCTCTCCTTTGATTTCTGTCAACATGCCAGATCTAACAGGTTCTGGCTGCTCCCAGTGGAGAGCGTGCCAGGAACATCAGTGTGTCTTGGCTCTCCTTGCTCTGAGGGAACCGGCAATGTTTGGTCCTGCCAAGTCGTTGAGGCTTCTTTAGCTGAAGGGAGTGGGCAAGCAGGGATCTGGTTGCTAGAGGAAAAAGTACAGCAAATAGCTAGAATTTGCTCCACAAACACTGCTGATCTATCAGAGAGAGAAGGCAGAAGAACGCACCCAGTTGAGCAGAAGCCAGGGTGTTCCTCCCCAGCTCTAAATGTACATTTTAATTTGGGATCTTCATTAGTATCAGTGTCCACAAAGCAAGCTTAAATAGCCCTTTGCAGTCACTGCCGTGCAAAAGGTAGAGCACACACTGACTTCTGGGTTGAGCCCAGATTCCTTTTTCTGCTGTGTTAAAAGTCTAACCAGAAACTCTGGATTCTACAGTTAGAAGGAAACTGACATACTAGACCCAGTTGGGGGAGGGTGTGTTATTTTGGTTGCAACATTCTTCGTGATTAATTTGGAGAGTGGGCTTGACATTATCTGTTCATGCTTTGCCGTGAGCTGGTAACAAAGAGTTGCAAATAAAGGACAGTTTAAAGGGGAAGCAAAAGAGGTCTGAGGAGAAAGGGGCCATACTCAGAGAAGCTCCTACTCCTTGCGGCTGATGAAATGCAGGCCTCACCTGGCCTCTAATTGTTGAGTGAACACTCCTGAAGTTTTCCTTTGCAAACATGAGGACTAGATAGCTGATTGGTTTTGTTTTTAAAGAATGAGACTGGCACCCTGCATGTTGTGTTGCTGCTGGTCTCACTGCTTTGTGGTACATTCATTCCAGTGCTGTTTCCTGGGCATTCGGACCATTTGTATCCCAGCCAATGCAAACAAGAAATGCTTTCCTTTTACTTTCAGCCTCTTCCTTTATTTTCATGAATGAGTGTTTATTTTCACTCCTTCATTGCTGCCAGACCAAGCCCTGTACCTTGGCAGGGATTTTTTTAAAAAATAAGTATTCTATTGAGGTGAATGGGTGGGATAGCACATGGGCTTCTCAGGTTTGTCCCATATGTCTTGGCAAGCACCAGTTATTTATGGGTCTAAGACATGATCCGACAAGAGATACCTGTTCTCTTAGTCCAGGTGGAATGGGGAGGTGCCCCACAAGAGCATAAAAGCCCTCCCCAGTCCTGCTTCCTTCAGAGAGGAGGACTTCAAGCAAGGAAAATTTCTCAGTGGGTTGATTTTATACAAAAACAAACACCATATTCCTGGAATCAGCCTGATGAATCTTTCACAGGATCTGTGAAAACCCCCTAAGTATACAAAAAGTCAGCTGTCCACATTTCCTTATTATGCAGTGACTTTGTGACTCCCCAGCTGAAAATGATTGAAATGAGGAAGCCTCTGGTTCTGAGGAATGCCATGAGTGCGTGAGAGCCAGGGCTGCTGCAGCGGCTTGAAAAGCATAATGGGAGGACGATAAGCATAATCTCTGAAAAGCATAGTGGGAGCAGCAGCCACTCGGCTGGGCTTCCCCAGCCTGGTGTCCTTCAGATGTGCAGGAATACCCTATAATTCTGGCTGGGGGGTGATGGGAGTTGTATTTCAGTGCTCCCGGAGAGTGCCAGAGTTGCAAAGGACTGTATTTGATAGGTTTGCTTTCCTTGTTTTCCACGAAGTCAGATGATGATGACAACTATGATAGTTGTGGTTATTCCTTCTTAAGATTTGACAGTGATGTTTTTTGTTTAAATTCATTCCTGGGGATGATTTTGGTTTTGATTTGGAAATGAGTCAGAAGGAGCAGATGAGGGGAGAAGGAGATTGAGAGAGGGAAGGAAGGATGACAGATGGACAGAAGAGAGGAAGGAGGAAGGGGTCACAATGTAACCTGCTTGTTAACACCTGTCACAGGGTTCCCCCTCCAGCAAGCGGAGAAGCCCTTTGCTGCAGCCAATTATCGAGGGTGAAACTGCTTCCTTCTTCAAGGAGATAAAGGTGAAAAAGAACAACCTCCCACTGCTAACTAATTCGCTCAGCCTGCATCACTTCCCCTCTCCTGCTATGAAAGTGATAGACTTTTTCCATTCTTAATTGCTGATTCTTTTACCATATTTCCAAGACACAAAATCAGTAGCTGCCTGTCCTCGACCACTTTCCGCCTTTCTCTGTTACAGCTTAGCTTTCAGTGTCTCCTTGGCTTCCCCCACCCCCTGTTTATTTTTGCTTTTTACATAGAAGCAGCTTTTGATTTGCAAAATGCACGATGCAGCTTTGCGCCTTCTACCATCCTCTTCTTTTTGCTTTCGTAATCCATACTATGCTTGCCTCCGGCCTGGGTGTTTTGGCTTGTACTCTGTGTCCTGGACCTGCATCTACACCTGCAGCACAGTGAGATAGCAGAGCCATGCGGGGAGAGGTGGCAAAAATGGATTCTGCCACCCCAGACTGCAGGTGCAAGATCCCGTTCTTGAACAGTTTCCTCCGAGTGAATAACTCAGTGCAAGTAGAACACTAGCACTTTGAGAAGAGAAGCTTTGATCCAGCTCTACTGCTCTGGTTTCTGCCCCAGAGATTTTTATTAGGATAGCAGATCATCCAAAATCGCAGTCACTGCCAGGTTCCTGCCACCACCTGATTGCCTCCAGATAGTGCAATGTATGTGCAACTAACTGTGGGTAGGCTGGGGCAAGTTTCTCTGTCATATATAATGGCATTGCATCTCCTCAAGCAATCCACTTTCGGTTATGCTCAGTCCTGAGTTTCTGTATAAATCCATTTTTTTAGAAGCCAAGGAACAATGAGTATTGTGTGCTCCTTGGAAAGTTATCTGATCGAGTCATGTTTCCCAGAGTTGCAATGAATGCCGCTCCCAAAGGGTAAAACCAATGCTGAATTTGGTCCATGACATTCACCAGAGAGCACCTCAGCTGTGGGGCAGTGTAGAAATGAAAGACGTAAATAACAGCCACAACAACTTACAGTACTCTTGTGAGGATTGTTTGGAACACCCAAAAACACATTATGTCTGAAGGCGATAATGAACAGATAGTGCCAGCTCACAGCTTGGTTTGTACCTCAATTCCTTGCTGATAACTCTGAATATGAAGGAGTTGAAGTGCAACAGTCCGAACAAGGAAAACTCCATCGAGGGCCTGCCACCTTTCTGGCGCTTCTTCTGGGCACACCACGAGAGGTCCTTTGTGGAAGGGACGTTGGGTGGGTATGCTTCTTCCCCACTCCTGCCAGCGCTGCCAGGCCCTTTTTAACCTTTGCTAGGCACCATCGTTGGCCAAGCTGCTGCCTCCTCGGTCATCTCTGTGTACAAGCCATGCTATTATAACATAGCAGATCAGTCCTTTCAGGCGTGTAGGAGCAGCATCAGTTTGCTTTGCTTCTCTGAAACCTTCAGTGGCTTTTTTTTCAGTTCCCAGAAACGCGCTCTCTTTTAAGATTCAGGTTGGCCAGGAACGCTAATATGGATGACAAGTTTTTGGTGCTGTCTTAAGACTGCACTGTGTTCACCCACCGAATTCCACTTGGCAAAGGCCCCTTTTGCCTGTCCTCTTGGATGAGAGTAATGCCTTGGCAATACTTGCTGCGGGAACATTGCAATTAGGGGAGGCACGGAGCTCTCCCACTAGTCTCAAGGCCAACTCACAGTGGTAGCCTTCATCAGCAGCATGAAGCATTCGCACTCATACAGAAACTGAAGCTGCGAGCTGTCTAGAGTTATAAATGTGAAGTTCTGCTACAAGATTTGCCCCCTTCATTAGGTTGCTCATGGGGAAAGGGGGCATCAGACTTTGTTTTCTTCTTACAGTGCCAAGATAGGGGCAGGTTCTGAATTGCACCTTTATACCTCTGCAACTGTGGTCTCCCAGGCTGCCAAGGTGCTCTGCCCAATCTCCATCTCCTCTCCTTGCCACATTGACTGGAGAGGATTATGAAGATCCTTGTCCACTGCTCACCCAGTGGAACACCTTGATTGCAGCTTAGGGATTCTGCTAGATCACGCTGTATCCATTGCCCGTTCCTGTTCCAACACCACTCACACAATGATACTATTATCAGTTTCATTATCAATGCTGTAGGCACCTTTCTCCAAAAGGGGGAAAAAACCACTTGGAATAGAATTAAAACATGCCACATTTAAAATAGCTAAAGCAATTATCCATTAAAGTTCACTCACCCCCTAAAACATCAGTAACAGCTGTAAACAGTTCAGCTTATGCATGAAACAGCACATATGCCCAGGAATAGAAGAAACAGGAGATCTTCTATATACTTCTTAGTTTATAATAAACCTTCTGTTGGGTTAAAATACAAATAAAATGACAAATTTTGGTACTGTGTCTCAAGACTGCCGGTTTTAGAATTTTTCCTGGAATTGCTCGATTTAATCCAAGCAAACAAAAGTTTACCTCTTTTTTATTGTCCTTCTCCGCCATGGTGATTTCGCTGCACTGTCACCCACTAACTGGGGGGAATTTGGGGGCGCTGTTCTTCCTGTTACGGGCTTCTGCTTCACTCTGCACATTCAGCCTGCTTTACTGCATGGAGCTCTTCCAAGTGGCCTGCCATCTAAGGGCCTGAGCGTGTCTCCCTGGTGAGGTGTTGTGTTGGTCAGCTTCCAGCAAGAGCCACCTGTGTGCGTTGGTGGCCAAGCAGTGCAGACCAGCCTTCCATATGTGAAACTGGCACTCCTTCTGCGTTTGGAGTGTGGTGCTGCATGCAGGGAAAGGCGCTGTGTAAAGACAGCATAGATGGTAGTAACCCCTGTTGTCTCCCCCCAGGAGGAGGAAGATGCTTCTGAAGAGGACACGAATGTGAAAGCCGATTTCACAGTCACCATAAAATCAGACTTCAGTGTGCGAAGTTTCTTGGACCAGCTGGAAGAGGATGCAGATGGCTTTGTTTCTCCAGTGGATGATAGGATTCCTTCCAGAAACAGCCAAGATATGGGGATATCCAATCTTCACGCCGCCTCTATGTATGTCAGGTTTTTGGCAGTCAGCTTTGTATCTTGTATACTGTTTGTTGGGTGTAACAACTTATAGGGGAAAGGGGTATGGGATGGGGGAGTAGCTATTCTTTGTGAGCTTGGTTTTCTTAATAATAAGAGCTGATGTACATAATGTGCGTCATCTATTGCTTGATGATATGACGGTTATTGTTTCAGCTGGCTTGGTGGGAATTCTGTGATTTTTAATTTTTTAAACCATTCTTCAGTGTTTGGATGTCTATTTTCTCTTCTGTTCTGCAGGCCAGAACTTGTCGAGCAGCTTCAAGAGGTCAGAGAAGAGAAAAAGAGGATCCGAAAAAAATTGAGAGATTTTGAGGACAATTTTTTCCGACAAAATGGAAGGTAATTTCCTCCCCCTTCCCTCCACATACTTTCTCCTTCCCATTTTAGAGCATAACCCCTTGCTAATGTCTTGCTTATTAAATCTTGCATCCAGTCTGAGCAGGCCAGGAAATTAACATTTATTAATCCCTTGCTATACCAGGACTTCCAGTTACCTTTATCATGTGGGCACTTGCTTCATCCAGCCCTATGCACCATTGTGCCCAAATCTGTTTGTAAAAGGCCCCTAGAGAGTTGGGCCCACTGAGAAGTCACTTTCCCCCATGTATTCAAACTGCTTCTAGACATGGGCTGGGTTGGAGACGTTCTTTTCCACACAGCTAAACATACAGGTGGGAAATTCAACAGGACTTCTTGTGCTTCACCCTTTGAAAACAGTTACAAGGGTGACATGTATGTGCAAAGTTATTGTGAGAAAAATGGTAGGCAAGATTTCTTTCTGAGAGAGCCCTTGTGAATCCCAGAACTGTTTCAAGACCCAATTTGCAGTTTCTTCACCAATTTGGAATAACAAGGGATATCATTTTTCCATTTTTCTGTTACATCAGAGATAGTTGTAAGGATAAGTCTGAGAGGAGGAGAAGAATTATGCAAGCTGCCTTGAGTTTCTTGAAAGGAAAGAAGGCAGGATATAAATATTATGCATGCATGCATGCTATGAGGTCTAGAAGCACTGTGTGTTAAAAAAGAATCCAGTGTTCTCTGTCCTGCACGTAGCCAGCACAACACAAAGAAGGGATGCACCTTGTTTGCGCCATGGAGCAGATTGTCACAGTCGCCATCTTTCCTAACAGAACATTAGAGTGCAAGTGTCCGAGTGATCCACCGCCAACAGGCCATCTTGGAAAATGATATTGTAATGAAACCTGCTCTCATCTCTCCTGTTTTGTTTGGTTTTTCTTACAGAAATGTCCAGAAAGAAGACCGTGCTCCTATGGCCGAAGAGTATAGTGAATACAAGAAGGTTAAGGCCAAGCTGAGGCTTCTGGAGGTCCTAATCAGCAAAAGAGATATTGGATCCAAGATCATGTAATGAAGGCCTGCTTGACCTTGCCAATAGAGTTAAGAAGTTGACCAAGCCAGAGGGATGATTGGTTGAAGAACTCGGAAGAGCCTGATTCTGTGAGGGCCTTTTTAGCCGCTCTCCCTGGCTGATGGAAGAGGAGGAAGGAGAGTTGTGCTTCTTTCTTCAGACTTGTGGCCTGTTCCATCTTCAAGCTGGCCATCTAAGCCAGCATGGGGGGCAGGTTCTGACGCACTCAGACTTTGCTCCAGGAGGGTCCTTTTTTGCTACAATCATCCTGTGACCTTGTGAAACACTTAGACTAACAGAGTCCAATTTATACCTTCTCTGGAGGGTCAGTGCAAGAGTGATGAACTGGTTTGTGTTATCATGAATCTCCAAATAATCACCTGCCATTGTCAGACCAATAAACTACCCAGGTCTCTTCTAATGGGGAGGGGCTCACATTCTGAGATGATTATATGGCTTTAAAGTGAGCAGGGGGGAAAGAGAGATTCTCAGGATCTCACACTTGACTGCGATTTTGATTGCTGGTATGCAACCTCTTTTAGTTTGCTCATTGAATGTGGAACTCAGTAGGAAATATTTTGTGCTACCTTGGCCCCTGATATGACTTTTTCTTTTTAAGTAAGAGGACTATTACTTTTTCTTCAGGTTTTTCTTTTTCTGAAAAGTAATTTCACACCAACTGCCCCTTTTGTTTGTCCAGACAAAAAGAGGAGAAGCTGGGAAAATGGACCTTGGTAACAGGGTCTTTGGTGGTGGCGCTGAAGCCCTTTTCTGATACGATTCTGAAATTCCTTGGAAACGTCCTAGGAGTTTCCATGTCTGGAGGTCAGGAACAACAGACAAGCTTTCCTGAAGGATTCGTCTTTCCACCTGATGCCAGTTTTCCCTCTTGCAACTGTGGCGCATTCTACAATGTCCTCTTGGTTCACGCGGAGCGATAAGGGTAGCCTATCAAGCTGCTCCCTTGTAACTTTCCAGAACTTTTTGCAACACACTTTGGTTTGTGGGACGTGTAGAGCTTTGTGCACAGACAAATAATTGTGGACAGGTCCTTAATAAGCAAAACGGGTGAACACCTCCAGAGACTGGGGGTTTGTGAGGGGGCAGGCTTTGAGGTTATTAACAATGTGTGCCATGTCTTCACAACTTCTCTGTTAACCCCAGAAACTGGCAGATCCAACGAGGGGATTGTTTTGTTTTTTGTTAAGCCACAGCTGCTTATGTGATGATGATGTTGCTGTACTCTCAGATAGCTTGTATAAACTTGTAGGTACAATGATGCACTTTAGAGAGAGAGAGAGAGAGAGAGAGAAATATATATTTTTTAAGAAATGGAAAACAAATAGTAAGAAAGTGTAACCAAAATTATACTTTAAGAAAGAAAAAAAAAACAATCTTTTGTCTACCTGACTGTTTTATTATGCCATTCTTTTAGGAAGGAAAAATATGTCTGAAACACAGCTTTAAGATTTATCTAGCGAAGCAAGCAGCTAACACAAAAGGATGTCATAATCAGAAACCATTCCAAACACCAGCACTAGGAAGCTTTGAAATACGTGTTTGATATCATGAATAATTTCCTATCAAAGCTCATAGAGCAGCTTCCCACTGTCTGCAAAAATGTGTTGAATTAAAAACTTGGAGGCAAAGTACAAAAAAAACCCATTAAATTAATGCTCATCCAAATAGCAATTACTAAGATTTTTCCCATCAACAGTGATAAAAGAAAGTGTAGGACTGGTTCCAAAGAATGGTGACACTAGTTCTGTGAGCCTAAGGGAGCTTTAGACTTGTTTTTCTCGAGAAGCAGCCCTTTATGTGACATGGCCAATGGAGGCGTGGTGTGTGGCGTGCAGAAAACAGCCCAGAGTTGCTGTCAATGCTTTCGATAGAGCTTTCCTGTACATGTTGACTCAGAAGTGAGCCCACTGAATTCAGCAGGGCTTACTCTCAGGAAAATATTACAGGATTGCTGCCAAAGTAGCTCTTTGGATCTCAGTCGCCATTTTTAACATGACTTTTATTTTCTTTCCAAAATCTCTACTGGCAGGATTTTTTTTTAACCGAGTGTGATGTTTCTAGGTCCAGAGTCTGAACTAATGTGTTCATGTGATTTTTTTTCCCCCCTTCTGTGGCACTCAAAGAGAATGGTGTGTGCCTCTCTTTATTTCCCATTTGATCCCATTTGAATGCATGACTATATATTACAGAATGCTAATATAAATTAATGAAGTTGAGACATTTATTTTAAAGCAAAATAAGAATGATAATTAATGAAGCATTTACCAATATAAATGATTCCTAGAATTATTTTTTTAATGACGCTTTGTAATTTGTTCACAGGCTTACTCTTGAGTGAACAACGAAATCATTAGCGATTTTTTTTTACATTAAAAGAAACATGGGGCAAAGAACATGTCTTCTCCTGATCGCTTCATTAGGCTTCCAGGTATATCTGTGTCCATTCATGCAGATACTCATATCCTGAATTGTTTTTTCTGTCACCAACTAAAAGCAGTCTTGGGCTCAAGGGGTGGAGGGTAAGTTGGCAGCTTCTCAGCTAGGATTCCTGATAAGTTGACTGACACAAGATGGCCAATCAGCCTTCGAACATAGAGCAGCTTCTTACCCAGTGTGTACCGTGGGCTGGTCAGCTAACTGAGAACAAGAACTTTCTGCAGGTTCTTACAGTCTTATACTCCATCCTGCATTCTCCTTTCCACTGTGCAAGGAGAACAACCATAAGGGACATTTGCAAATGGGAACTTCGCTGGCCCTGGAAATTTAATCCCTTTACAAAGGGGATTTAATTCCCAGGGTCTGGAAAATCCAATGGGATCTTACTGTTCCTTTCTTCCCTTGGAGAGGAGAGAAGGCGGAGGAAGTGGCTGAGATGGAAGAGTCATTTATGTGCAAATACACAGTCACCAAAAAAAAAAATATTACCTTATCTGTGAATTTCACCAGAGTACTTTGAAGCATGCAAGTCTCTCCCCACACACACTGCTTTGCCTTTTGAGTATGTGTTGGTGAAGTTCCTGGTTCACAGGATGAGTATTTGTGGCTACCATGAAGGGAAGAGCAGCAATGGAGGGGGAATGGCTGAGCAACTGTTGTCTATGCAAAGGAAGCTAAGAAATGCCTGTTTTCAGGGATGGCTCAAAGAAGGATTGTGGCAGGCAAAAGGGCTGATTTGTCATAATTCTCATACCTTCCTCCTGAGCTTTAAGCTGTCAAATAATTCTCCACGTGTATGCAGAGGTGTCCTCACCAAATCGGGGCTTTTAAATTGATTAAAAAATGGATGCAAGGTTATGTAGAGTGCATAAGCTCTTATTCTCTATCCTTCACATAAGAAATGGTCAAAGAATGTCCTTGTAGTTCTATCACCCACATGCCAAACCATTTTATCAAAGTGCTTCTGCCACATTTTTACAGGGAAATTATTGCACATAAGCAAAGCAGCATGTCCCGAAATCTTTTCCCCCTCACCTGTTTCTTTTTCTCCTGTGACATTAACAAAGGCAAGACACAGGTTACTCTTGAGGGCGCTTAATTCTGTCTGTCCTTGGAAAAAGAGTTTGTCCTCTGGGCAGCTCATCCTGAGGTCATCTTCTGTAAGTCTCCTAGGTTTTCTGAAATGCCTCGGGTTTTGCAATGGTGGAAGAAACAAGGCGGGAGATTAGTAAACTTCTTAGGTCTTGGGGGCTAGGAGGTTCTAGCTAAACTCTTTCCATTCACAAGTGGCGTATTACACTGCACAGCCCCCTAAGAGCACCTATTGCTTAAAATCCTCTGCATGGCCACTCAATCTATATAGTCCGGAACAACCAGGAAAAGCTTCCTGCATAAACCCTTTCGAAGTGGGTAAGCCGCCCTCTCCCACTGTACACTTTCCATGGCTCTTGCCCAAGAAACATTCCCCAGCAATTGTGCCTTTTCATGTTTTATGTATGCACAACTTGATTACAGTTGGAAAGCCGAAGCCAGTAACTGTCTGTCAGACTGTACAGCTGCAGGAAATCCTTTTGTCAGGCTTCGTTCTTGGTTTGAGAGCAGCTACCCAATTTCTTCTCACCAATAAGTTGCTTTATGCACCAGATGAAACCTTGTGAGCTTAGTGCTTTGTTTACATCACTTAAAGTCAGCAAAGTTCCTTCGACACCTGAATCGTCTTAAAAATGTAACCTGATTGACAAAAGTTATGTGTGTACATTTTGGTACATGATCGTATTTTGTATAAAATGGAGAAAATAAACTATTTTTGACTCTGTATGTCTCATCAGTGTTTGCAAATGACATGCTGGTGCTGCCGGTATTTCAGAGTTTTAAGAGTCAGTTGACTCCAGTTCAACTAAAGTTAGCCATGACTTGGTCCTCAGCCCCATTATTTTCAGTGGAAACCAGTAACAACCAAATTGTGCTTCAGTTACAGCAAATGATAGGCCATCTTTTATATATAGGCCAATTTCTTACTCGTATTGGAAATAGCAGCTTGAAGCCAAAATTCCTGAAATGATCCTTCTGTATAGAATAAATCTGAGGCTGGGGGCAACATGAGACGGGTCCTCCTCATTCACCATATCCTTTCAGAACTCCCTTCTAAAGGAGACTGGCTTCTTTGCTCCATTTTTGGCAAGTTGCTACTGAAGCATTTTTATTCCTTATGGCATTCAAGGGATTTTAGTCAAATCACTATTTACTCTCTGTTTCTAAAGTTGCTTTCCCAGTTCAGTTCTGTCCCACTCCTTTTAATGTAATGCTGTTCTCTTGCAAGTTGCCACAGGGAGTCTCTTAAGGCCTAAGGACTGGATCTAGGTTTACACTGGATGAACGTGGCAGAAGTAAACTACTCCACAGCAAACCCTCCCTTCCGCTCCCCTTGCAAGTACTACACAGGGTTGCATGACACTTTGAGCGGGGAAGGCTGTGGTGGGGTGGGGGCCCCACTCTTGCAAAATGCCAATTCCGCTGGCGGAGGGCACATTCTGGATTTAAGCTGACTAGCCACGCTATGTTTACATTCCCCGCTTGGGCGATCCATTTACCTTTCAGGATTAGTAGCCATCAATATCCTCCATGAAGGTAACTAATTGGCTTTTTAAATACATCAGTCACTACATTTTGTGTAGCAAATCCTTATTCAATAGAGTCACTACAAGAGTCATACTTTACCTTTTACCTAAGTGCCTTCAAAGCAGCCAACTGTGTCTCTGTAATTCAGACACTTGATCCAATGTTAGAATTGTTTTTAATCCGTTGTTTGCATTATTTATTTGCTTTAGCTTTGTTCTTTTCTCCACTTTGGAATCTGCTTGGATTTAGAGTTGTTTAAATATACTGTAAGTTTATTAATTAAATGCCAAAATTGAGTACATGCAACAAGGCTAACAGCCACTGAAACCACCAGAGTTGCTCCTCTGTGTGCTGCTAGACTTTGTATGAGCACAACCGATGTCTCGTACCCCCAAAACCAGAAATAGCCTTAACAGGGAAGTGGAATATGCCAAGGGAGGAAGTTCGAACTTGACTAGCCACTACTGCAGGGCCTGCCCAGAAACCTGACGGCACTTTTCAAATCCTAGAAAGGCAGCCACCCAGAAGAGGGCCGGGATCTTTTCCCAATCATCCCAGGGTGCAGGACGTGGACTAATAATGGGCTCACGTTCCAGGAAGGCAGATTCCAGCCAGATACTGGGGAAAATGCCCTGGCTTTCAGTACAGTAGTGGAACCAATGAGCTAGGGAGGTGGTGGGCTCTCCCGCACTGGAGGCATTCAGATGGCGGTTGGACAGCCATCTGAGAGATGTTTTAACTTGCAGTTCTGCACTGAGCAGGGAGTTGGACTCAGTGGCCTTATAGGCAGCCCCCTTCCAATTCTGCTATTCTGTGATTCTATTATTCTTTTGTTGTCTGAGAAGCAGGCCGATGTGGTATCACATCCTGCCTTCTTTCTATGTGTAGAAGCCAGTACCTGTGCCTCCGTCATACCCAAAAGCAGCAGGTTAGCTTACAGGCTGCATAGCACCCATTCTGCCTTCCCAACACCTCAGCACCACCCCTCTGAACCCAGCATCTGCTGCCCAGTTTGGCTGCCTCATCAGCCTTGTAAGGCCAGCCTTCTAACAGATCCTCTCTTTCTGGTAGCTGCTTGTCCAATGTCCAAAGTTACCAAACACGGAGAGAAAACTTCATGCATTAAGATGCCGCTTCTGAACCTGCATGAAAGAGGACTGCTCTTGCCACCACTTGTGCAAGAGCATAGGCTTCATGGTAGGAGTATTAGTTCAAATCTTTGGCATCCTCCTTTAAAAGTAGATTTCAAGAGCATGGCTAGGAAAGACCTCTGAGTCACTGCAGAAAAGCTCATGGTTAAAAAAAAAAAAGTTCTGTATGGGACAGAACAGATAAGACAACTGAACTTGCCCTCATCTACCATCTACTTCAGGCTGACCACTTTTTAGCAGGTTTGGTTAACGATCAAAACAGGAATGGGTCAGAAATGTGTTGGATTTGCATTTCTGTGTGAGATTACCCGGTTCTTCTCCGTAGTCTCTGTGCAATCATATGAAGGATGACAGTTACAGGTAAGCAACCTGCCTTTTGTATTGCACAGAACTGGACACAACTGGCAGCTGGAAATCTGTATACTTCCAAGCTTAGAATACGGGCCTCAAAACAAAAAACAAATGTTTTTCACAATATCTGCACATAGCTGAAATGCTAAAGAAAAACATGCACACATCTGCTTAGTCCACATGTGCCATCAGGACAGTCCCTGGCAATGGAAAAGATCAGGCATGATGGAATTGCCCATCCCCAACTGAGCGGACGTGCTGGGATAGCGATCAAGACCGTGACTGCTGAGGCCGTTTCAGAAACCGCTGCTTCTGATGGCCCTTTGGCTCCACCTCATTCATTAGGCTGTAATGCATAGTCTAATTAAGGCTTAATGGTCATGGTGAGGTTCTGCTTCTGAAACTAAGCAGGCTGATTGTCTTCCTGCAGGGTGGGCATATGATCTTGCCCATGCCTGTCAACGTACAACTAAGCCATAAGGCTGTAGTCCGAGGATCAGGTGGCAGGGCAGGGACTAGGAGGGAGTGGGGTTAGGCCTGAGTGGTAAACCAGGAGGTTAAAATCCAAACTATCTGCCACAAACTTGCCACTAAGGCCCATTTCCTCTGGCCTGTAAGCTGCTTTGCGTTGCTCACAAGAGGAGAAAAGACAAGAAGATATGAATGTAATGCAGAGGAAGGTGCATTTGTTTGCTCTTGCTCCACATCAGCGACTGCTCTTCTTTGGAGCAGAAGAGTTGCGAGAAAGGTGCAATGACATCACCATAAGCACTCTCCCTAAAAATGGGGAACTCCTGGTCACCATGGCTGCCACCATCCACAGTTATCTGGCAGAATACAGCTTGGCTCTGAGGGTTTGGGCTAACCTCCTGCTCCCGGTTCAGTTCTCATTGACCTGGGTACACCTGCTTTTAACTCGTTACAGGCCTCCAGTGCAGGAGATGACAGCAAATTATGTGCACACAGGAACACATCTGTAGGAGCCATCGCTGCTAGAAGCAGACTCGCCTCCTGCAGCAAGTGCTTTTGATGTAGAAAAGCCCTGACAACCCTTAATGATCCCAAGGTTTTCTTAATCCTAGAACACAGAAATGGTGCCAGCTCTCTGTGACATTGCACTGCCCCAGAAAAGCAGGAAATTGGCATCTGGTTTAAGTTTTCCGCTGAAGCCTTGATAGAAAAGAGTTTGCTTTTTCAGGAACAACTAATGCTCATGGAATTAATGATGATCTCCTTGTCTTTTTTCTTTTTTTTTCTTTTTTTTTTTTTTTTTTGCCTTGGGAGACAGATGAGAAGAAAGCTGCCTGATACCAACTGAGTGGCATCATCCCTGCCAGTTACTGTCTCCTGGATCTTAGGGGGGCATCTTTCCTCCTGTGACTACCTGAGCTGCCAGGGACAGAACCAGGGGAAGATGGTTCTGCACCATCCCTAGCTCCTTGAAAGTTCACGCTGAACACTGGAGTGGATACACTGTCCCACTGACACACGTGTTCTCCTACTAAGTTACATCTCCTCACCATCACTACTTAACAGGACTTCTCTCTCATCATATAGAGTAGTGGATTGGCAGGATCCATAATCAAGCTTACCATCATCTGTCCCATCCATCATTCAGCATCACTCCAAAAAAGTGGTGAGATTGTGTATTCCATCCCATGCTTTGGATTGTTCATAGCCGAGATGGGAGCTGCATTGCTAGCTGAAAGTTATTTGCAGTCCGTGGGGAAAGAATTAGGATACTCTCCATGCCATTAACATGCACTGGACAGCAGCAATCGAACTGTGTTTCATGTGCCACTGAAACTTTGCTGCAACAGCAAATGCCAGTGACGCTTTCTAAAGTAAAACCTGCCATTAGCATGTTGGACGCTAGAAATCAAAACTGAAGCAGTACTAGGAGGATGAGGGGAGATGGCAATTCTTTGCTGGGATTATTTTGTGCTTCCCAGCATTGGTATATAAGAGGGAGCAGAGTTCAACCCATACTGGAACTTGCCTTAATACTGAAAGCAAATTGCATGTAACTCTGGGATTAGGCACACTCAAATCGGCTTTGGAAAAGGACCAGAACCATGTGATGAGTCATTTTTTGCCAAGATGGGTGTTTACCTACTTCCAGGAATGCTCCCAATAGAGCCAAAGCACAAGGTATTTTCCAAATGCAGGACTGATTGTGGTCTTGGGACATACTCAGTTACTTAATCCATAGTCCACACTCTAGTTTTGCTAGGGAACTAGCATATACATCTATACTATGGCTCCGTCTGCCTGCCTGCCTTCCCCATTTATGCTGGTAAATACTACAGAACAACGCTGTTCATTCCAGAGAGCCACACTTCCTCCCAGTGGTCCCTCCCAACCACTCATCATTTGGTGGTTTCCTGGCCTTTGTGCCATTTGAACTTTGCAAATACCCTGTACTGACGCCAAAATGAACGAGGGGGTCCCAGACGGAATCAAGTCAGAATTTCCCCTAGAAGCAAAAATGACAAAGCTGAGGCTGTTCTACTTTGGGTCCACCACAAGAAGACCACCATGCTGAAGAAAGCTGAAGGCAGGAGAAGGAGGGAAGGCCAATCTCGCCCAATGCGTGTAGGTCTGGACCATTTAGTGGCTTTCTGGATTCCAAGTGGCTGATAGTTTGGGCTTACATGTGTTGACCTTTATCTGAAAAGGAGACATGTAAAACTTGCATATGTGCAAGTGGGTGTGCCGTCTCCCCCTGCAAACACATATTGACCACTCTCCTTATTCCTGAGACAACTTAGCAGGGGAACAAAAATGTCTAGGGACTCGAGCATTACAGATCTTTTTAAAAAAATTCATCAGGGCATTATTAATTAGGGCTGAAAAAGGGTGACTTTACTTTTTTAGGCAAGAAAAGATATAAAACCTGACAGAAACATTACATTTATTGCATAATATTGGGCTATGTACAAACACATAGAAAATAAACATTTGATAGAGCTGTATTGAATGCCATAGTAGAAAGAGCCTGAGCAGCTACCCAAGTAGCAAATCAAGGTGTTCATTTTTTTAAAGCCCCTGATGTCTTCCTAGCTTTTTCATCAGGGAGGTGCATAATTCAGTTCAATGTTATGGTTAAAAGGAATATCAATACTGAAGTTCCAATTCCACCAGAGATGAACTGTGAGTAAAAGCCACCTTGCAGAGCTGATCTTTTTAAACAGAAACTAATTATTAGCAGGGATTGAGGGAAAGGGCTGAGTTGAATGGGGACCAGAGTAGGTGGGAATTTAATCCTTTGCTTCCACCATAATCCTGATCTGGCTGGCTCATTCCATTGTTTTTCTCGAGACTTAGGACCAGCTTTTGCTGGGCACAGTCCAGTGGCTGCAGCCCATGTTAGTCCTCCTTAGACCCACCAAAATTAGTGAGTTATGACTGACTCAAGGGGTTTCTTGCACTGAAGCCTATCACTGACTACAACCCCGTTTTATAAATAAATCCATTTGTCCATAGTGAGACTTAAATTTAAGAGACATCATGGGCACCTGTGGGAAACAGGCTCTTTGGGAAGACAGGTTGAAAGGAAGAGATATCAGAAGCGGTAGCTTCCCTGACCTCCAGCAGAACGAAGGCTGCCTGGGTCCTGCCTCTCCCTTTGGGAAGCAGAGATGGGCCTCTTCTCAAGGCTGACACCAAGGTGTGCAACAGGATGCTGGACGCGATGCCTACCTGGCTAGGGATGGGCAGGCTGGTGTGTGGGGGGAAGGTACAAGAATTCAGTAGTGTTCTGCAAAGAATTCCAACTGCATGCACATCAGGGTCAGAAGGAAGATACAGACTGTATCTGTGGGCCTGCTGCATGTGTCCCATCACTGGTCAGAATTTGGCAAATGGAATAATACTGCATTCAAACACACATATATCCCCTTACAAAAACATAAAGGTCCTCGGGATTGTCACCCAAGTCCACAGGATCTTTGTTTCCTTTTATCTCCTTATGTGCAAAGTGCTGAAATTCACTTGGCCAAACAGAAGGTAAAGAATTTATGCCATTTCTTCTTTTTTTTTTTCCACGGGAAGCACCAATGGGGAAAAATATAGAAAAGAGCGTAACAGAAAATTTTCATTTGTCCTCCTCCTTCCAGTGCTGATCTTGGTGTGAGAGAAATGATCTTCAGATTATATGAAGTACACAGTTATCTGGTATCATTAAGAAACAAGGAAAGCACTTCTTGAATTACCTGTGTACACAGGAACTGAAGTACCTGGGGAGAGAGTGTGTCATCCCACAATTATAAGGGAAGGAAAGAAATTTCACAACTGTAGTTACTAGGAAGGAAGGATGGAAGGAGGGTGAAAAGCTTTCATCTGGGCTATCCCAGTCCATCTTTGGAAAAGGTAAAGATATCTCAAAATACTGAAAGTATGTTTTTTAACTTGAGTTGAAGAGGTGGGAGAAAACACAAGCCTTTAAAAAAAAAAAATCAGCCGGTAAATGTAAAAGAAGTTCCAACAGGTTTTGCTCAATAGGTTGAAAACTTTGAAGCTGAAATCCCAAGGGAGGTGGACTGAACTTTGCTGGGTGGGTTATCCTATATTCTTTTCCACTGAGTATTTTTGTCTCATTTCCTTACAAAAATAAAAACAAGACAATATTTTCTTTCTATACCGAAGTGCCTGTATAGACACTCTCCCTTAAGCCAAGCTGAAGCCCTCGTAGTGGTCGATGGCTTGCGTCAGTCGCGTGCTCAGGATCTCTTTGCTGCTGTACTTGGGCAGGTCGAGAAGGTTGTAACAGGTGTGAGCCACGGGCAAATACTGGTCCCCGCTGGATGTGGACTGGATGACAATGCGCAAACTGGACATGCCATAGATGGGGATGCGGTCACTGCCTGTCAGAAACACTGAAAGGGGGAAGAGGACCAAGAATCACTAAGGCTGACAGAATCGTCAACTGCCTTTTTAAAATACCCACTTCCTCCCTGCCACCCCACCAAGAGGGCCCCCATTTTTCTTCTGCTTTCTAAAGAAACTCAAGTGTCCTTTGGAGGAGCTACTGCAGAAGCCACGGGGGACTTACTGTAAGGAAAAACGGAGAACTAGACTGAGGCACCGTGCAGGCTTTGCACGGGGCAGAGGAGGTTGTGGGCTGATTCAGGGGTTCTGCTCTTCAGTGCCTGGAGCAAATCAGATGCTGGAAGCAAACAGCAGGGAAGCCTGCGGGTTCAACGACATAATGCCCTTCACGGGCAAGCTGCAGGCAGAAGGAAGTGGCTCTGGAGATGATCCAGTGGGCACCACACTGAGAGGAAGCACCCTCCAGGCAATTAGGCAGGTCTTTTCCAGGGACATTTGTATCACAGCCTTTGTGTGGGAGGCAGAGAGTTAAAGGTCACTCCCGCCAGTGTGTCTCGCTCATCATTCAGCCCCTAGGCCTGGGCTCCCAAGGCCTGGGTGGAAAAGAGGCCCCGATTCCTTCTCCTGTCCCCCTGAGCCCTCTGGGCTAAGTCTTCTCCTTATTTAAAATGACTGCACAGAGTGCAGAATCCAGTGCCCCTTGCTCCTCCCAAGATCTCATCCTGCATCCCCACAAGATTCCAGTCACTGTAAAGGCAGCCAAAGCAGTTCCAGCATCATCCACTTCACAGCGATGGAGACATCTTGTCCCCTTTGGCCCATTTCAACAAAATCTCTCCCTCCACAGATGTTCACATCCAGCAAAATCACACAATAATGCTCCTACAGGGACAGTGGTAATTCTGAGTGAAAACTGGGGAAAGGGCCCCTTTGTGCAGGAATGCGGAGAAGCCTCCTTGCATTAAGAAAAGCAGCACAGAGAGCCAGAGAGCCAGCTTCAGGACCTTCTCCCTGGTGGCTAGTTTTCTTCAAGAAGAGAGCACAAGGTAAAATGTGAATGGGGATTTCCCATCTCAGAGATCACATTCTTCATATTGCATACAGATTTGAAAGCATGAGGGGAAGAGAGAAAGTTGGGGCAGAAAGGTATGTTCTGAATTTTGCTTTATATATTTCCCCTCATCTGGAAAATGGGGGAGGCTTTTCCCCCAATTCCCACCATCAAACCTTCACATCTCTGCTACAACAGAGTGCACCATCTAGTGGCAAGCATCAATCATGCTTGATATGATATACTTTCCAAAAAACAAACTTTCAGTTTCGATTGTCAGAATTGATCACTTTGGATTTGGTTGCAGCTCTACAATCGTACAAAAATCACTACCACCTTAATTTATTTATTTATCAAAAGCTTATTTATTTGTTTGTTTATTTAATAGCTCGCTGCATGCATGCATGCATACATATAGCTTTTCTATCCCGGCTCCTACAAACGTCTCGGGATGGCTTACTATAAAGAAGTAGAATAAAACTTACTTTATTTATTAAAGAGATACTTACAAAGAAACTTCTTCTTCTTTTCCAGAGGAAACTCGTGAAAGGTCTCCCAGAAAATTTGCACTGTTGGGTGAGTCGCAGAGTAATCTCCTTTGTAAATCGCACTCTGTAAAATGGTTGCAGATATCAATATTACTTTTTAAGAATGGGTAGCCAGTTATAAAATCATTTTAGATTAAATACCCATGTCTCCTTCCAAATCTGTAAAGCACGTGGCAGCCTGTAAACACTCAGAGCTCAACTGTCCAAAAATTATTACAAGCCTTATATTTCTGAGCCGTAGCAGGAATTCCAAAATTCTTTGATATTTTAGATGGTTAAAGTTCAGTATTTTTCAAAGCTTTATGAAAACTTTTCCCACTAACAGTGCTATCCTGTGAACATCTCTTCAGAAGTAAGCTCCACTGATTTCAATGGGATTTACTCCCAGGTAAGTGTGCACAAGATGGTAACATGCCTCTAAAGTGAACCCTTAATGTAGCAGTTTACTTTAGGGGCATGTTGATTCCATTTGGCTCAATGCATTGTCTACACGAACTGCTATGTTTAGGGCTGAAGTCCCAAACACAGAGTGACCCCCAATGAGTATGGTAGGGCTGCAAAGATGGAAAGGATTGGGGGCTGCCAGTGAATAAGCAGAAAGAAGCTTCCCTCTTGTTCATGCCCTTGAAGAAAGCTATACACATTGGAATACGTTGGCCACACCATGCAGGTGGGAGAGAGGAAAAATTATTTTACTTCAAGAATTCTTTAGAGATTTTTGCACCTCCATCTCCCTCTAATCCCAAAATTCATTTAATGGGGATAGACCCAAAGTTCCCATAGAATTTCAGTGACAGGTCCAAGTTGACCGAAAGAGAAATGACAGGAGCAGCAGCAAAGGATAAGAAGCTAAGAAGAGAAGCCTTCCCCAATTTTCTAGCTGTGCCATTACCTCCTCCAATTCTTTCCAGTTGTAGTTGCTGCTTCCGACGATCATGGCCCTCAACTCAGTTGGCTGGAAGAGTTCTAGAACCTTCCCTCCACACACCTTGAGGAAGCCAGTTGCAAAAGCCATGTACCACTCATGCACTGACAGGTTGAAGATGTAATTTACATAGGCGTCGACAAACTCCTGCCTGGGGATTGGAAGAAACACCACTGTTTGTCTGTACTCCGTAGGCTGAAGACCAGAAGCTACAGATCTACCCAGATCTACTGGCCTTTCTTTGTCAGGTAATGAATCATCTTTCAGCCCAGAGAAAGTACCCCGAGGCAACTTACAAACATACTTAAAACCATTTTGAAGCTTTAAAGCCATTAACACAAATTGAGAAATGTAACATTTCTGTAAAGGGCTCAAAAGAGCATGGAGAGCCAAGCATTAGCACATAGCACTCATGGGGAACAGTCAGGGTCATGGTGCATGCCCCAGACTGCCATATGGTGGTACATATCTTGGCCTCCCTGCACTGGATGGCTTGAAGTGGCCATTTCTGCTTCCCACAATGCTCTAAAGCAGCCCTACAAAAGCAGGCCTTCTTGCTAGCAGCACCGATCCTCTAGAATGCAGCAAGCTGCAAATGCCTCTAGAACACACATTTCTTCATTTAAGCTTTCCCTGATTTGTAACTGGCCATTACAGAGCTTCGGTCTACTGCTCCAGTCTTGATGTCATATTTTAATGTACTTCTTTTATAGTGTTTTTACATATATATTTGGTGCAAAGCATGGAAGAGATTTTAGAAAAATTCGGTTGTATAGAAGTAGTAGGAACAAACAAGAACGTTGAGAGTGGGGAATTGTGTGAAATTAGAACAGAACGCAGCCACCCTCCAGCAGAGTCCCTCCAAGTGGTGGGGACGAGAGATGCTGCCTTGCCCTGGGCTCTTTTAAATCCGTGCAGAAGCACTGCTGTGAGCGTTTAATCTATGAACAGGCATACACTACTTTCCTGTTCTACTCATATCTTGCCATTTTGGAAGCCCACCACAGGACAAGGAAAAGCCACCCACTGTTCAGCCCACACAACTTGCAACTCACCTAGCCAAACGAGAGATCTCCTGGTTTGGGATTACAGAGGCAGGTGGGTTGCCAGGTACACAACAAGCCACAATACACGGGTGGCCATTTGCGTTGCTTGGCGAGACCTACATTGCACAGGTTACACATAATGTTATCCTGCCGACAGGACAAGCAGCAGTGGAGTGAACTGCGCAAAAGCGGAGGCAATGATGGGCCAGTTTCTCAAATGCTACAAAGGCAATCGGATCGGGCGGCAAGAAATGGTACCTTCTACAGCTGGGACTATGTCAATACCGAATTTGCATTGCAACCCCACATTTTCTCCCTGCGTATCAAGGTACTGAAAGGAAGACGGCTGCAGGGATCCTCCATGTGCAGAAGGATGACATTACACACTAGCAGCTGGGAGAAGAATGAAAGGAGGGGCAAGGGGAGAGGAGAAGCCTTGCTCTTGGCTTCCCAGATATCTGATCTAATCCCAGAGGACTCTTGTTGTGGATGAGCTGAACATCCACTGCAGCTTTCCCTTCTCTTCCACCCATGCCCTGATATTGCAAAAGCATCACCAATTCCGAGTTCTGTTTGTCAATGCAAATCTACTGCAACTTTAGCAGAATAAATCACACTGCGGTGGTGCCGGACTTTGGATCTCTTTTATTGCCTTGTATTTCCCCTGGGTCTGGACCTTTAAATGTCAGGGAATGAGGAAGGACGAAGGGCAGGCAACAGGAACTTTTGTTTTTTATTGCACTTCTCATCTTTCAATCAAACTTCAATATTTAGTTTAACATACATTCCCCCTGTGGCTCCTCCACATCAACCTGTTCCCCCCGTCCCCATCTTTTATTTCTTAGATTTGTATCCATTTGTCTGAGGAGCGGAATACAGAGTCCTCTTTGAGAAGCCTAAATTGGAAGTACTGGGCTCCTTCCACAGCGAAATGCCCACAGCGAAGATCCCTGAATCACTCATGCAGTCGCCATGAAGAGCCCTTCACGAGTCAGGCCTTCTGCAGGCTGCAGCCACCAAACCAAACATACCTGTTGTCCTTCTGCACCGCAATTTTGTCTCCATCTGCAATGAGGTTCTTCTGCTCTGCCACTCCGTAGCTCTCTCTGCATATCTGTTTTTCCACCCAAAACAGATGACAAAATTACTTTATTCTGTACCTCAACACCAGAACTTACAAGGAAAACAGAAGTGCAGGTATCTTTCAGCATATGCAGGGGAAGAAACAAGGGGAAGAACGGGTTCAGGAAAAGGGAAGAAGGCAGAAAAAATCCAGTAAGTGTAATTTCCAGGGAATTTAATAAGACTTCAGATTAAAGCCTCAGACTTCACACTATCCCTGAAATGCACCCAATGGGTGCACTTAATGAAGAGTGAGGCTGAGCAACATGGGGGACACTTTGGCCAGCATAAACTCAAGAAACCTCTCAATCAGATATACATGAATTGGTCTTACTGTAAAACAGAGGCAAAATGTTTCTTCAACATCTTCCCCAGGGTAGTCTAAAAGCTGTTGAAGACTCCTAGAAATAAGGTAAAGAAATGACAGAAAGAAAAAAGAGAGTGCAAGAGAGAAATTAATAATCTGATATGCAATATTGTTACATAAAGACCCTTTCCTTATGCTTCTACTGGCATTTTCTGAAACCACATTTTAGGAAGCACTGAGATGACAGGTTACTAAATCCAAAAATCATCTGAATTATGTAACAAACATTATCACATAGGAGGATTTGGAATGGCTTATTTATTAATAGCTGTAAAATACATTACCTCATACTGAACATTGCTATAAAAGTTATCAAAAATGCCTGATTTGGTTAACCAAATTGCTTTGATAGGAGACCAAGAGAAGAGTCATAAAAAACCTCTAAATTCATTTGAGAAAAATATCATATATTGGAACAACAGGTTTCGGGATGATGTTTAACCTTATACATTATTTTCTCTTTTAAAAGCATCATGTATGATTGTATGGTCTGGTTTTGCTTTTTTTTAATGGGCAAAATAGAAAAGTAAAGGAAAAATTTTCATTACCCACAGTAAACCTAACAGTGGCTTTGGGTAACAAAATTCCAGTCTAAATGTTCCCTGGATGTAAAAAGAGACGGTCCCCTCTTCCATCAGTTTGCTCTTTTCCCATAAAAGGGTGCTCTCCTAATTCCACCTTTCTTTCTCTCTCCATGATTGAAAAAGCAACTGTAATTCTGTACTGATGCTTCTTGCAAACTGGACAAGACAACATACTTTTATGTTTAAAGAAACGTACCTTCCTTCCATGGGAGAAAGTTCCTTCAAGTCTTCCAAGCAGGGCTTCACATTCAGAAGTTTCTTGTACAAAGCTAATGGGAAGTGAAGATCCACCACAGTAAAGTTGTATATAGCCAATCCACAAATGATGCCAATCAGGTGGAACCAATTGTGCTCTACGAAACACTTCAGACATACAAAGGGGAAGAAGCGTTAACACAGAGGCTGAAAGACACATGGCCCAAGGGCTGCATGTGGTGCCCCATGGCCACCCCAACATTTGTGACAGTGGGAAAGAAACTGCCACTGAATTTAGGCTGAACAAATGACTCTTGACCTTTTAACTGCTGCAGAGTGGTTTCTCGCTGACATCTGGGATCAAATCGCCTTTCTTTTTGCTGCCGCCGAATTTGGAGGCATATTGGCAGCAGAAGTGTGGCCTGTTGGGGGAGTGATGAGCCCCCAGATCCCCATCGTTGCCCACACCTGCATTAGCAGGAGGAAAGTGCAGGCACCTGCTTTCCCAAACAGATGCTCTCTAGGTAGATTGGTCTACAACTTCCATCATCCCTTGCCTGCATGGCCACTGGCAAACATCTGGAGGGAACCAGTTGGAGAGGGCTGCTTTACACACAGAACTGCAACCGAGGTCTTTCTAGCTGCTAACCCCACTCGAGCCTTACCATTTCCCCCAAGCTCAGCACTGGTAAGCAGGATCTCTATTGAATCAAGCATGAAAAATCCAGCCAAACTTACAGTATCTGAAAACCACAGCAAGTTCGATTCCGAGTAGCAGGTGAACATTCCATAGATGGGATTCAGGAGCTCTTTCAGCAGCAGGAGGAAGAATTCCTTTGTGACTCCACCGGCATCAACCGCCTCCTCGCCATCAAAGATCACCTGCCGCAAAAGACAAAGCAGATGTCAACTAGGGAAATAGCTTGCCCTGGGCAGGAGTCAGGAGAATTAGGGATTGACTTTAGTATGTCTTTCAGCAGAAAACATGGGATGGGGCTTCAGCAGAGGATATCTGAAATAACTGATGAAATTGGGATCTGATAATGCTTACCTTCAGAGGCTTTTTCAGGTCAATATCTGAGTGGATGCTTAGTTCTCTCAAAGCATCGCCAACCAGGTTGCTCCTCCGGACATGAAGGACCAAGAAAGGGCTTCGAGCCAAAAGGGGCTCCAGAGTGAGAAGCATGAAAACATTCTGTAAATTGGCTCCGCTGATGGCCACCTACAAAAATGTATGAAAATCAATCAACAGTGCAGTTCTCCCTGATTAAATGATGCAAACTCAAAAGATAGGAATAAACTTACTGCCCTTGAATAATTTAAAATGGGTTTTAAGTGGCAAACTTCAGAAATGACAAGCACCTATTGGGTCTCTAACTCTTTTAAGATCTAGATGTCCAGCTAATATTACTGCTAAAGTCATCTTCTACAAGTGCCTTTAATATTCACAATACGTGGAAACAGTAGATCAAAAATTGCCCCCCACAATGGCATAGTCTATATCTTGGAAAATCCCACCTGGATTTGACCAGCCCCACCTGATATGGACAACAGTAAACAAATTCACACTGGCCATAGCAAATGTGAAGATTCCCTTTATAAATGGGGCAAAATACCATCACCCAATTGCCATTGTGGGACCGAAAGACAAACTATTCAACATATAGTGACAGACTGCCAAAACAGAGCTTATGAGAGTTTCTGATTTCCTGGTTGGGCAAAAAATCACACCTGTAATTTAGCTATACATCTATAATGTTTTGGCTCTTGAATTTTGTAAGTCATGTTGTGATGTGAATGTGCCATACAATAAATGAAACCTAACTCTTTTACTGGCAACACTTAGGATTAAGTCCACCCTGACCCTAACAGATCGAGCCATCCAGATCTGCTTCTAGCCATGGCCCCAAACTGTAGATTGGAGCTGATCATGCCTCACAAGTGAAGCGGAGATGAAATTCACAAGGGGGTGGAGAAAGCAGTACTGTTGTTTAATAATTCATAATAATACACAACTATTTTAACCATAGTTTGGAAATCCTGTATTATACACATCTACTGGTCCATAGACAAAGGATCAGCCACTGACCACTGTACAGCCAAATCCAGTACTCCCAGCTAAAGCAATTTCCTCTCTTCTTGTCAGCCTTAAAACAAGGTATTGTTGAGGGACTGGACCCTGCGGAAATAGGATAACCTGCCATCCACTTTTGCATCTCCTCCTGCAAAACCTGTTGACAAGCAAGGATATCTCCTATGTAGCTCCTTCTGCCTGCCTCACTATATGCTCTAAGGGGGAACTCCATGATTTGGATGCATGGAAGTTTTTATTCTTACTTGAAAATAGCGCTGGCTTGTGTGGGGTGGGGGCTGGAATGGACTTGGGCATTGGGGCTGGGAGAGATTGTACTTGTGAGCATTTTTGAGTGCCTCTTTGCCTCCTCAAAACATCCCCACCGGCTGCATGTGTCCCACAGATGGACTTTGCAGGAGAGATTCAAGCTCCGGAACCAGCAGGAATCTGGTATTCCCCTCGCCAGTCCTTCCTGTACAGTCCACACCATCTTCCCAGGAAGCCCTTTTGCAAGGCTTTCCATGTTGTAGTCTTCCAAGTGGGAGAAAAAAAGCTGCAGCAAGAAATCCTTCCCAAACAGGTAGGTGCTCTTGGTAGTAGCGCCACCTCCTGGTACACAAAATTCTGTTCTAGCTTCTGTGTTCTTGCCAAACAGAAGGCAGGCTACAGTTCCCAGTGCTATAAAAACATCACCCTGCGCTGTGCACAGACACTTCCTCTACAAGTGCATTCTAAACACACACAAATCTTAGTAGGAAGTGAGAGGAAGGCTCATCACATTACGCCTGTCGCTGAGGCAATTACAGCCAAATTGTATCTTACGTATCTTTGGAACACAGATCCCCTTACGAGAGATTGGGGCAAAGGAAATGATGCTTTAACTTGGATTGCAAAAGAAGTGCGGACAGAAAGACTGTTTCACTCCTTCCTCTTCATGCTGCTTTTTTGATGTTAGTCACCCTTCCCACAGCAGCCGTTAGCCACAGAAAGAAAAGAAATAAAGACTCCCGTAGCAACATTGGTGGCATAGGAGGGATGCAGACCGGGTAAGCAAGAAACTGGAACATTCCATTTCCAAGGTCAAGAACAAGTTCAGTCCCTCCACCACAACCAATGCTGTTTTCAAGAAAAAATAACAAATTCTAGACAGCCAAACCATGGAGCTCCTACATAGCACAAAAGAGTCTCTTAGTTATGCAAATAGTAAGAAGCTGTGTTTATACAAAGGCTTTCCGAAAGTGGTCAAAATAGCTTACATATATAAGCTCTGCAGTCCTTACGGCAGCAAGCCAACAGTATTATAATAGATATTAAAGAAGGAAGAGTAGGAACAGAAAACCTGCTATTGTTGTTACATTTCTATATCACCCTTAGCTAAAGCACTCTGGGTGGTTTATAAAAGGTAGGAAAACAATAAAATACAATAGAGAAAAACCAGCAACAGAAGTTTAAAAAGAATTTAAAATTAGCAAAAGAACATTAAAACAATAAAAGACAATTTGCAAGATAATTTAAAATACCCAGCCAAGAATAAATGGCAGCCGCCTAAAGACCAGAGAGGTCTTCAAAGGCCTCCACAAAGAGGGTTGTCTTGACCTGGTGCCAAAAAGGTGGCAAATTTGGTTCCAGGCAGGACACGGCAGGGAAGTTACTCCAAAGATGCAGGGCTTACCCAAAACCTCCTGGGGGAAGAGGCCATAGCCCGGGGCAGAAGGTCCATGTTAAATCCTGGCGTCTCTAGTTAAGTCTCAGGTATCAGCCAATGGCAAGAGCTCTGTCTGAGAATGCAATGAGTAGCTAGTAGTCTGAATGAATAATTAACACTGGGCTAAGTTAGGCTTCCCAACCTGGTGTTCTCCAGATGTTCTGGGCATCAACTCCTATCATCCACAACCAGCATGATCATTGGTTAGGGATGCTAGGAGTTCAGAAACATCAGGAGAACAGCAAATTGGAGAAACCAGGCTAGATGGATGAACAGCCTGACCTGTGAAAAAAGCAAATTTCTATCTTCCAAGCAAGCATGTGGCTGCCCGGAGATTTGAACCAGGAACCAGGCGGCCACACACTGAAGTTTCTAGTTCAAAAATGCATGCATTTTAAAGGCCTGAATTTTGGTAGCCAACAACTACCTTTTTCCCCTCTCTGCTAGACTGAAGAGAACGTATGCCAGAAATGTCAAGGAGGATATTTGAGCTACCAGAAAAGGCAGCCCCAGTAACAGAGAAAGGAAACAGGAGCAGCGAGGGATGGGGCACATGCGGAAAGAAGCAAGGGCTCCATACCTGCATCTGCAGTTCAGCATCCGTCTGCAGCATCTTGGTCTTAGCTTGTGCATCAAAGATGAAAGGGTAGGAGCACAGGGTCACAGTGTCCTGGAAAGGAGGAGCAGTTCAGTTTAATGGCAGTCGCCCGCCCTTCTGCTGAGAACTACTTTGGCAAGAGCAATTGGAATTGTTACCTGTATGATGGATGGTCTTACTTTCTGTGCAGGGGAAGGAGGGGAGAGGAGAAAGAAAGAATAGTACGTGAGCTTTCTCTTCAAAGAGCTCAAGAGGTCATACACATCGCTCCCTTTATCCTCCCATCAGACCTATGAAATTGGTTAGTCTGAGAGAAAATGCCCAGCTTAAACTCAGCCCAGTAAATGTGGTGGCTAAGCAGGGATTTGAGCTGAGATGTACAAGACCCAAATCCTACCCGTTACCCACTAGATAGTCTTCCCTTCATGCTTTCCAGATCACAGCAAAGGAAGTAACAGTGACTTCTCCTAATGCAAAAGTAGGAAGGCCTGGGGGCGGGAGGTCAAATCAGTTCCTCCTGGGGCCCCAACCTGGTTGTCAGATGGTTCCAACTCCTTTCACCTAACTACCAATCAATGGATGGTTTCCCAGCTTTTGGGGTGTCTTTCTAAAAGGTTTAGTTCTTGGCAGGAACAACTTTAAGCTCAATAAACTTATTTTTAAAATATATTTTGCCTTCAACCCTGCCCACCACTGGCATGCAGCCCTTGAGGGATTCTCGGAAATGTGGTTCTGAGGCTGAGAGGTTCCCCAGTCCTGTCCTAAAGCCTCTCCTCTCACTGGAGTTGCTGACTTTCCATAATCTGATGCCAGATGTATTGGACTACAACTTCTACCATTCCCAGCCAGCATGAAGGCTGGCCTATAGCACCATCCTTCCCTTTCTAGTCCCTCTTTCTCCTCAGTTAAAAAAAAAGGTGCCATGCAGCATTGAGGTGGGGAAGTTGCTATTCAAGAAAGATCCTTCCCAAGGTCTACCATGCACTGCCTTGGATCTTGCCCATTACCTGTACCTATATCCATATTCACTACAGACCAGTGTGAGATGCTCCCCGGGAAGAGGAGGAGGAGAAGAGATTTTCTAGCTCTTATGAGTAAAACCTCTGAAAGCAAATTGGAAGCCCAGCTCGGTTCCAGCCCACACTATCTCCTTTCCCTCCTTACACCTGTTATCTACCTTTTTGCCTCTCCTTTCCACTTGCATCCCAATTCATTCATCTGCACAGGTCCTGGCACTCCTGAACAGTCCACATTTTTCAGATGAAATAGACTAAACACGCTTGTTAAAATAGATTCCATAAAAACTTATCCTAGCAGCAAGATTAGAGCAAGATTCAGAGCATGTTCAGTTCAATATGAGAGTGATGCATGTGATTTCACCCCTAGTCTACTCCTTTCTCACCCTCAGTCAAAGGAACTCTCTTACCATTCCAGCTTGATGCAAGAACCACATCAGGTAGTCTTCCTGAATATCCACCAGACTGGAAATCTCTGGGATATAGAATTTGTCATACTCTACATGTTTAGCTTTCTGATTTACCTGATTTTGAAAAAAAAACCAAACAAACAAGGGCAATGAACAATTTCTTCATACCAGCTTGCCATGAAAACCAAAATGTAAGTAGTATTTAACATAGACATCCCTAAGAATAGTGAAACTGTGGGCTGAGAACGGTGAGGAATGATTGACTATCTCAAGTTTTCTTGCTGATGGTTTCTTGCCACATGAATGGGATGAAGGCCAGATAGCTTTTACATTTGCGTTAAGGCCAGACAGAGGCAACCATCCAAACCATTTCTGCACTACAAAACTAAGGCATACGGGTGTTTGGTTCAAGATGAGATGCACTGGGTTCCTCAGTTACAAGCCCAAATGCAACCCACAGCAGGAATTAGGGGCGGGCCAACATAATTGCAATCCTCCAGTACAAATGTGTGCTGAACTCCACTTTTCTCAGATGACACACTCTGAATATGTTTGTTAAAAACAGCTTCCATAAATACTTATCCTAACAGCAAGCTTGGCATTCAGAGAGGGCAACATACGGAAGGAAAGGTTTTATTACCTTGTGAAGTTTCTCCAGAAGTTTCAGGGCAGCTGTGATGTAGCTACTGTATAAGACAGGGATCAGTAATGTTTTTCTTCCATTCAAGAGGTAAACCACTGTGCCTTTATAAAGATCTACAAGTTTCAAGAAGTGTCCTGGGCATACTTGAGACCACCAGTTATCTAAACAGATTATGCAAAGCAAAACAAGTTCTTAGCTGCAGTATCATTATACTCCTGCTGAAAGAAATATTAGAGGTAGAAACGAAGAGGAGGGCTGTTCCCCCACTCTAAAGGGACAAACATCTTCCATGGGATCACAGTCGCACTTTCAGGGGGGAAAACATACCTACAGCTGTGACCTTAGGCATGTTTAATGGCAAGTAAACCCCACAGAATGAGTGTGGCTTATTCCTGAGTAAAAACACACAGGGCTGCAGTGCTTAAACTCATCTGAAAAAGCAGTCCAAGAATGATGCAGCTGGAAACACAGGAGTGGCTTCCCTCACACCATCAGCCTGGGGCGTGTGATGCCATAAACCCTCATTTCAGCTTTGAGGGGAGTTGCCACTCAGAAAGGAAGATGTGGGAATTAGCAGGAGAGCACCCAAGGCAAATTAGAAGAGCAATCATGGCTTACAGAGACATGGATTACCAAAATACACTGTCTTCCTAATGGCTAAGAGAATCACCTCACAGCAAGGGAAAGCAACCACTGACCCTGGTGCTGAGTTGCGGATATGATTGCCTAAGCTGCAAAGCGGGAAAGCAACCACTCCTAGAAAGAATGAGGCATTACAAGTAATCTAGCAAAACACTGACCATGCTGGAAAGCGATGTCAGCACTATATTATGCCTCCCTTCCCTTATCGAGAACAGGACTTGGACAAATGTGACTATTTGAACTCTTCTTCCACCCATTACTTGTCTTTCACTCTTCTTCGGTTTTATTGAAGTCTTTTTTAAATTGGTTGCTGGACATACAGATATGTTTGAGCTGAGGATGATGGTTGGTGCCTTGGTTTCCAGGAAGATGTGGGGATCCATCTGGCCTCCAGCGCTCCCCTCATGGCCATAACGCCAACCACAGAAAACATCTCCTTTCCTCCAACCACTGTTTGGGGGTTTCCCTGCTTTTGTATAGCTTTTCCTCATTCTAAGGCACTGAAATGCCTTTGAGGCTTAGTAAGTGGCAGTAAGAAATTAAGCTATAATATGCTGGAATTTTTTTTATTTATTTATTATTATTATTTGTGTTTTTGGCCTCACTTCCTCTGTCTTCTGCCCTCAAATGGAATGTGGCCACCAGGGTCTTCTCTGAAGATGAATTCAACTTTCAGGCTGAAAGAGGTTCCCCCCACCCCCTGCTATGCAGGCCCTAGAGAACAGCTTTCCCAAAACACAGTGCATTACCTTCTCTTCCTCTCAGCTTTCTCACCTGTGCTGGGAAAGGGATTTAGCAGAGGCTAGGCAGGCGACTAAAATAAGCTGAAGATTAAGCAGCAAATTTCCCTGGTGCTTCGGATAGCTGCTATATAAATGTTTTGTGAATTACTTTCTCCTCAAAGCAATCTAGGAAGACAACCACCCAGTAAAGAGATATGCATCTTCTACCTAAGACTTTACTGGGGTTTCTGTCCAGGCGCAGTATGGCCATCGCCAGTGGAAGTGTTAAGGTCACATAGTACTTTGAGTCTTGTAACGGAGGGAATTCGGGGAGGATCAGATAGATTCTCATGGCTTCGACATCTGGTGGGGAGCTGGGCAACTGAGGGATCAAAAAGCTTTCAAAGCTCTTCAAGATCTGCGAAGTGGGGAGAGGGAGAGGAAGAGGAGGAGAAAACAATAATGAGACACATGTTATGACAGTTCCAATTCCTCGTTTCAACTCAATTCTGAGGTGAATCCAAGTAGGCAAACTCTCATAGGACTACATCAACATTCCTCCAAATGGCAACTCCACTCAACCCACATCCTTGCAATTCAACAAAGACATGGATGAGGGTGTGAGCCAGAGAAGGCTACTGGTACAACTGCATGGCACGATTACTTTCATCCAGTCAACCAAAGCAGAAAGGTTGTGTGACCAAAATCTTATATTCACTTAAAAGCCACAACTTTTCCCTAGAAAAAGTGCTGAGCATGACAGCCAATTTCCCAGAGACTTCTATTATTAAGTGCTCCTTCATGTAAATGATGCAACTGCTCAATAGCCTAAGACTCTACTGATCAGAGACAGTTAAATGTCAGCTCCAGGTTTTGGCACCCCTCTGCTTCTGTCTGGCTGCTTCTCTTACCCTGGACCCAATTTGTACAACTATCCAGAGAAAGGGCAGGATCCAATCAAAAGAAGCTGCTCTTAAATTCTCACTCTGACTGCTGTTTGCATGTTCAGGGAAAGCAAGGGAACAGGCTGGGTTAACTGGGAGAAGGAGAAGCAGTACCCAACAATACCTGCCATTGACACCAGCCCTGATTCCATCTAATTCATTTAGTGAAATATTGCATTTTGCTGGTTACTGGGGAAACCAAGAACAGCCCCTCCTGAAATTCTAGAATCCTAAGCATCTTTTCTCCACCTTTTCTTAGCATCAGAATGTTCCAGTCCCCAGTGAGGCCATTCCTACATGGATGTGTCTTCTGCATGTTGCCGAACAGGATCACAATCCTGCATGTACGCTGCTTTTGCCAGAGATTGAACATTGATACACTCTCAGCCTCATGCCTTCAAAATCTGGCATCTCCATCTCCCATGCAACCAAGGCCAGGAAGGCATGATCTTTGGCAGAGAAGCTTTGGGATCATCTATTCCTTGCAAGTGACATCCCATGTGGGACCCCCATGAGCTTCCTGTGTCCCAGCACAAGTTCTGGTTAAGTACCCTCCAGCTCCCTGGAGCTCCTTCCCTCCAAATCACAAACAGTAATTTCCTGGAAAAGGTAATACATCAGAAAACTCCGCACAGCCCCTGACTGGTTCATTTCTTCCCAAGATTTCACCAGAGATTCTTAGAAAAACTCTTGATCTTTCCCACTGCAGGTCCTCCCACTGCAGTTGTTAATTTCTTTAAGTTAAATAACGTAACTGCTTTGCCATAAAGCTGAAGCTCTTCCTGCTAGTTCCTACCCTTCCCAAACCTGCATTGTCAAGAGGGAAAGGAATCATCAGCAAGCAGAGCTAGTGTGGAGGAGCTCCAACATCCACAGATAAGTGCAGATGCAAAGAGCTTGCTTCCCAGGCTCCCTGACCTCAATCCTGAGCATGCCGGGAGGAAAGCACTAGTGTTTATACCTTAAAATGAGGACTTACAAGGACATACGTACTGTATTTCAAAATGGGGGATGGAGGAAAAATGCTTTCCAAACTGTTTGGCTTCACATTTCAATGCCATTAGGGAAAGCAGTTGCCGGGCTTTGGAAATGTGTTGACGGCAAAATGTGAGAGTTCTTCTGAGGACTCGTTTCAGCAAAAATCAAGGATAGCCCAATTTGAACTCAGGAGTTTACTGTAACTCAGACATTTCACTCCAGGCTTCTCCAGCCTGGTGCTCTTTGACCACAACTCCCAACAGCCTTTGGCCCTGCTGACTGAGGATGGTGGGAGTTGTAGTTCTATACCTCTGAAGGGGACCCGGTTGGGGAAGCCTGTTTTAATCTTCTTCATACATATGACTGAAAAAATAACTAAAGTTTATATATGGAGGTTTGTACCTGGTCAAGCAAGGTAGAATGCTGAGATGTCATTAGCTTATCAAACATCATCCTGGTGGCATTCAAGTCGATCCCAGGAATTTTGGGACTAGTCTTAAAATGTTCATCTACTCTAAAATCAAAGAAAGAGAGAGAGAAACATAGGTAGGTAGGTAAATAAGATCTATTTGCATTTTTAAAAGGAGAGTTGTCAGGCATTTACAAATAGCGAATTAACTGTTTGAACTCCTTAAGCAGACTCTCAAAGTTCAAAATTCATAGATGGATTAAATGCAATGGCAGAACTGGAATCTTAGCACAGATAGTGAAAGCCAAAAAGCGGCTCAGGCGCATACAAGCAGAATACTAGATGCTTGCCTGCTTGAGCTTCAAAAGTAATTTGCAAAGTCTAAGAATGACAGTCTGAAGCACAAGCTGCCAAGTCAAATTTAATGGGTATCCAGTAATGGCCCTTCCTGATAAGCTGCCAAGAAACAACTACAGCTTTCTCTGTAGGCTCAGATACTCCACTAAAGGCTTCTGTCCAACTTTGGCAGGTGAATCAGCTGCACGTGTTGAGAAATCAGTTACAGATTTGAAAGAATACACATTCTACCCCCACCTTCCCCCGCATAGCAATTACGTCTAGGCACATGAATGTCCTAGGCGAGGCACCTGAGAGCATGGCACTCTTTCCACTGGACCTGACTGTCCCACATCACCTACAGAAGCGGCATCAGACTGTAGCCTGCTTGAGGGATGTATAGCTTGTAGCTTCAGAGCCAATACCTTCTGAATACCAGTTGTGTGCCTGTGATTCTCATGTCTTACCTGTCAACTTCCCGAAAACATCTCACTGTGGGATTAAGATGGATATTTGGTCTCTACTTAACTGTTACATTTGTTTTACTGAAAATTATTCTCAGGCCAACTTTAAAAACAGCTCCTCACAATACCTAGCTGATGGAAGAGATCACAACTTAAACCTATTAATCTAATACTACGAAGTTGTCAAAGGAGCTGCAATTTTAGCAATAAAGCAATTCAGCTCCCAGTTAAGAATGCTGAAGAAATTGCATCATCTATGTCTGGCTCAAGCATCACTTAGAACACCTTGCAGGTGAAAAAGACCTTTCAGAAGTATGCCAGTCCTAAATACCAATGCAGAATTCTTCCCTCATGCAAGCTACCTAGCTAAATTACAGGAGCGGCAACAACAACAACAGATGTTCTCTTGGGGGAAGAGGTTCCATTTTAATCACATACCATATGTGACAGTTTATTGCTAAAGCTCACAGGATATACAGAGTTAAACATAGCCTCCGATGGCATAGCTACCATTGCCATAACAACATAGGCAAGGGAGGTGGGAAGGCTCCTTTAAGAGGGTTGCTCCAGGAGGTTCATGTCATGCAATGCTGCTGAGTCTGTGCAAAGAATTGGTTCTGACAAAACAAGCTCAGCCAGAGAGGGGCTTATCCTAGGCCTGCACTAAGCAGCAAAGATCTTATATAAGCCAAGCCAGCTGGCCTCTCTTCTCTCATCTGCAGCCACCAAGATCTTATCCTGAAAACACACATTTCAGCAGGATGCACAGAAAAGCTGTTCCCAGGGGACTTTGCCCAACTACCCTTTTTATGCCTCCACCTTCGGAAACCACAGGTTTAATTAGTCCTCCTCGCTAATCCAAATCTAATTAAGAGCATAAGAAGAGCTATGCTGGATCAGACCAATGGTCCATCTAGTCTAGGGTGCCCATGGGAGTAGGAACCCACAAGCAGGACATGAGTGTGATAGGAGCCTTCTTCCCATGTTCCCCAGCAATGGGTGTACGTAAGTATACTGCCTCTGATAGTGGAGGTAACATGCAGCCATGGAGAAGCTTGTCCTTCACGAATGCGTCCAACCCTCTCTTGAAACCATCCAAATGAGTGACCATCACTAGACCTTCAAGGGATGACTAGCAGTTTAGCCATCACTAAAGCAGACCTAAGCGATCCTGGTTTTGTGCTTACATCCACTTCATCAAGAGGTGCTGTTGCAGGGATTCTGGTGAGAAATTACCTGATCTTTTCTTGGTATAACTACTTACTTCTTTTCTAAGAAACTCCCATTCCAGCAGGCAGCGGAAGACAGCATCTGCACAACTTCACTGGTTAGAGTGGTGGGAGGAAAATGAAGATGTTAGGAACGTTGGCTATGAGTCCCCAGTGTACTACTGTTTTATTATATACAATATTTACTTTGGTTGAGCTGCCTTTGCTCTCAGGTTAGTGAGCTGGTAGCATGTTATCCAGCCCTAAGTTATGCCAGCCATGCAAGATTTGACTTGGATAGTCACTACACGGAACAAATGTTCAACACCTGAGAAGTATTACATAAAGGAGCTCACACATGGATTCCACCCAGGCATGCACACCACCCACTGCAAGGGCAGCTTTAGCCCCACTGCCAGATATTCCTCAGGACCTCAGAAAAGTAAAAATATTCAGTGTGATTCAGAGTAGCTCAAATCACAAGCTGCCTCATGCACTTATTATGCCTCTGGCATGAACCTTGCATCACCCAGAAGCTTTTTTGCATGGCTGGGGTAGCTTGTTGACAGTCCTTCTCTCAAGGATCCTGAAAGGTTTCTGAAAATAGAACCCTAAGCTTTTGACCCACAAGACAGTGCTAAATATTCTTTTCCTTTCAAATGCTCAATAAACAGATCATTCCCAAATTATGCTGTTTTCTTAGGTGACTGACTTCTTCTGTGCACACCTCCATTGCTTGGGTCTTGAATGTTCTTTGGCCTTGGCACATACGTGGCCTATCACCCACAGTTGTTCTAGAAATGCCAACCAGATATTTATTTATTATTTTGATTTGTATGCTGCTACAATAGCCCAAATCTGGGTCTTCTCTGCTCTCTTTTTGCAAAAAATAACCTATGCAGTAGCAAAAAAATTGCAGACTGAATTAGGGAAACAATTCTTTGCCCTAAGAAAACATTGAAACATACCACCACAGAACAGGAGTAGGCCAATTTCATGCCAAAATGCAACATTAAACCCCAAACAGTGTGTTAAATGAAAGAAAAGCAAACATACTTCACTGAATTAGGACTGTTTCTTTCTGAAAGCTTTTCTCTCCAAATGTCTATTGTATCATCATTAACTGAATAGGTGTAGTCACTTTGATTTATGGTCCGGAAATCATCAGCTGGCAGAGATTTCTGTAAGAGGATATAGGTGTCAAAGATAATTTCACAAAGTGGGCTGGAATGGCTGCCAGGGGCTTAACTGCTGCTTTTGTGAATGTGCAAGAAAAATCACCTGGCTTGGGCTCCAAAGTGTGTGACATGCACCTTCAAACAAGCCTCACTTACCTTTCATACTACCAGAGCCTATATTCCAATTACAAGAACCACCTGCCCCAAGAATTGTTTGGGCATTATCACCCAGCAACATTTGGTTAGTTTCGTAGAAGTGAACATGCAAAAGTCACTTTTTTGCCTGTTTGCACCAAAAAAAAAAGACAGCTGATTTGGCTTGGAAGCAAGTGAATTTATTTCCATTCCAAACATTTGTAGTTGTCTGCTGTCCATTTTCAGACTTTCTGCCAACACCTGATGCTCTGGCAGCTGGAATCCAGCCAGTAATGGGGTTGGAAAGGGTTAAAATGTCCCTTGGGCACCCCGCAAAGTTGGTGACCACTGATATAAGGATTGTATTCTGCAGAAATGAAGGTATGAGCTTGAAGCCCTGGAGCTCACCATGCACAGAAGAAGAGGCGGCCAAGTAGCATTCCAAAAGCCCTCAGGTGTGAGTTCTTCCCACCACCACCACCACCCTGCCACCAGTACTACAACTTTACATTACCTCTGTTTCAGAGAAAAGCACAAAAGTTTGGTCTCCTCCAGTGAAGATACGTTTAACAACATAATATGTACAGGCATCTGTTGAAGAGAATTGATACCAATTAGATGTGGCTCAACTGTCACAAGCATCTACTTCCTTCTCCCCTGGAAACTGGGAGAGCAAAAGCCAGATTGGAATGTCCCTTTCAGGTTGCTGTCTGCCTGTGAGAACTCAAAGAAAGTGATGAAATGCATTCACCTGCGATAGACTGATGCCATTGTTTTCTCTTTATTGTACTAACAATTATCTCCAAACAGTCAACTATTTTCCACCTAGCTTCATGAAAGCAGCATGCTCTTCAATGGCTGCAGATTCCACTTTTTTAGCATACTGTGAAGGAGAGCAAAGTGGAGATCCAGGGCTCTGATGCCTAACCAAACCATGGGTTTATATAGTACGTGGATGGGCAGCAGCTGTCACAGGATCTTTCCCAGACTACTTAAGAGGGGCCAGGGATTAAACCTGGGATTTTCTGTAAAGCATGGACTCTACAAGTGAACTAAGGCCCTTCAACATCTATGCAGAAGATAAAAGCAACCACATCTTGAATAGGGCAAAGGTGCCCTATTTTCATGTGAAAATGAGAAAACATTGAGAAAATCACTAACCAGGTACACCCAAACATACCTGCCTTAGGGTTCCTTGAGCTTCCTGCATCAGCTGAACTGATCTAAGAGTCAAAATCACACAAATTCCTGCAACTGCCTTTCCACCCAAGCTGTTTTTTCTGCACTGAGAGAATATGCTGAAAGTGTGCTAGCAGTCTGAATACACCGCACTGTGGTGCTTTAAGAGTGACTGTCCTAGCACTCCCTACCCAGGGACAAACGTTGTTCAAATTATGGCTGGATCTTGACTTACTAAAACAGAATCCAGTCACTAAACCTACAGATGAGTTGGTGGTGTCTCATAGGTAATTGGCCGTTAATGTCTCCCTCAGCTGCAAGCAGAAGATGCCAGGACAGAACTATTACTGCTATCTCGGGTTCAAGCACACTTGTGGACAAGGTCAAACAGATGGAGGCAAAGGAAGAGACATAAGGAGGACCCTGAAGGGACACCATGGGTCTGAATGCTCCAGCACTGTGGTCACAGTGGCCAGTCAGATGCCCACAGGAAACCCATGAGCAGCCACTCAATCATGTTCTCCAGCAACTGCTGAGCACAGGCATACTGCCTCTGATACTGGAGGTAGCATCTAGCTAATCAGGACTAGGAGCCACTGATGGTCTTCTCCTCCAGGACTGCCTTTTGAAGTCCTCCAAATGGGCAGTCATCACTGAAGAGGCATGCTATTCCTGCCTGATGTCCAGTTAATGAGAGGGGAATGTTCTTGGAGAGGCTAGACTCCTCTCAGAAAAGTCCATGGGGTGAAAGTTAAAGCTTACCTTCTTGAATATAGAATTTCCACACATCAGCTTTGCCACCTCATTTTGATGAAGGAAGCCAAAAGCACAAACCAGTTTGGCTTATGTAAGACTGCTGAACTTACATTCAATGAGGGAACAGGGGAAGGACTCCCTCCAAGGTGGAAATGTTTCAAAGTTTAAAAGCAGGATTTATCTCATGCTTTAATTTTCCCAAGTGAAGTGAGATGAAAGTATCCATACATCACATGTATGTACTTCTTCAAAAATAGGGCTCTAAGGTCTCTTGAACCCCAGACCTTGGTCTTTCCTGATGAAGACAAGGATCAGACTGATCTTTTAAGAGGAGGACAGTCGGTATCTATTCAGGGGCCAGAAGGCCAGAATACTCGATCCACTGAGGAGGAATTCCAAGCAGAACCTCCACTTTTCCAGTCTTGCACAAGTCTGAGGCTGCAAAAGCAGCAAAGTAAGGGCCTCTTAATTGTCCAGCAAGCTCTTCCAGAGGGGATGAAGCAACCCTCACTGCAAACTGTGGGTGTCTCTGTGAAGCTTCACATGGCTCTAGCTTGCTGCTGAGACATCATCTTCCTAGGCTCCCATCTGGAGAGTGCTCTGGCCAGCCAAGCTTACTCTGAGCTCCATCCATGGTCTTGATGGAGTTGCTTTTCTAAACCCACTTACCTGCTTTACTAGATAATCGCTCATTATGAGCTGCCCAATGGCCTTTGACTGGGGAAGGACATTTAAGATTGAAGGTTTGCCCAGTTCCCAGCTGGCCTTTGGTTCCACAGCCAAATGCATAGATAATTCCAGAAGAAGGCACAAAGGCAAGAGTGTGCTGCCTGCAAATAACAAAATCAATACATTACAAAGTGTGTGAGATTTAAACATTTTTCCAGTGTATAGTTGTTCTTTCTAAGAAGGCATCCACACAGTCAGTATATGTTTGAACAGAAAAGAGTGCAGCACCTCCATCTTGCTGGCTACCCACGTTCTACTTTTTTAAGCCTGTAAGGGAGCCATTTTTCTGCTATGTACTCTTATTTTTTTTTGGTAAATCGTGTGGCTGTGAAGATGCACTTGGAAGTTTGTGTACAGTACCAAGACTGTGCTGAAATATGAATCTGCAGCTTCTGTGGACATCATGGAAGTCCCAACCTCACAGTAACAGTCATCCAAACTAAGATCAGCTTTGCACACAGATAAAACACAACATAGACAAAAGAGCATACAACACTACTCTCTAATTCTAACTGCTCATGGTTTCAAGTGGTCCAAATTTTTTATTGCCTGGACACACAACACTACCCACCACACTGGCACAGAAAGAACACCTGAGGTTACTCACCTGCCACAAGCAATCTGGGACACTTCACTGCCCATCAATTCCAGAACCCTTCTGGGGTTGACTTCATTATTCCAGGAATCATGGCCAAGCTGGCCACAGGAACCTGCACCAAAGGTGAACACCCCTCCACTCTGATGAGCAAAGCAGAGACAACAACATTTCCCTTTGGAGATGAGCAGCCTCTCACAACAGATGTAGCTCCCCATTCTGGTAAGGCAAAGCCACATTACTTCTGCTGGTTTCTTCAGTCCAAGCATGGGCTGCCATAGACGTGTCAACGCCACCTCTAGTGGTAAACCAGGTTCTCTCACCACTCTTGCCCCAGTGCATGCACAGAATTCTGGCCTGCACATCCAGCAGAATAAGGCTGGCATGAAATTGTGGAGTCTTCCTAAAATGGACTGCTCCAATTCAGAATAAAAGTAGGAGAAACCTAAATGTTACTACCTCCCAATCTAACAGAACTCGCTGTTAATCAATTTTTAAAAGCATTCAAACCAATGTCTTGGAAGAGGACATGAGAAGAACTAAGTCAAGCAGAGGTTACAAAGGATGACACTTTGGAATTAACTGACAAATTAAAAACAAGCTGATGTCATATGCCCAAGAGACACTGTACTCAGATGTGAGGGAAACCCACTGAGGAATTTCTCCTCACTATACAGCATGCACTGCTTTCTTTAAAGAGCTATTGGCTGAGAAGGGAGGAGGGTACCTGGCCAAGTTAGACTACAAAATGTGCCAATATCCGCCCCCCCCACACACACACACACACACACACTGCTGCCAAAGCTTATGCAAAAAGTCCCTTTACCTTTGTCAGGACAGCGGTGTGTTCATTTCCACAGCTGATATAAACAACCTGTTGTGACCTTAAGAGCTTCACATGGCATGGAGACTCCCGGTCTGCATGAGAGGGTATGAAACAGTTGCATCACAGGTATAAAGTTGCAGTAGTTCTAAACACAAGGAGCTTGCTGATAAAAATATTGATAATACCAGCACACTCAGTTTTGTGTAGGAAGTTACCAAGTCTGGGAGGCAAGGCTCGAGTGGAGCTGTTCTAAACTACCACAAAAATGGCTGAGAGAACGAACATAAGCTCTGCAGTGTCTCACTACTCAGCCCTGCACAATCGTGGGGCCCCCACAGAAGTGGAAAAACCATAAATATCTCTAGCTTCCTCTCCAAACCTTAACTCTTAATACAGTTGACCATACATGTACTAGATTGCTTTTCTTTGTCTCTCTCTATGTGTGTCTTCGCACCCAGTGGTGTAGTTGCAGCAACAGCCTCACAAATTTCCCTTTTTTCTTGTTAAACTGTATATACTGGAGTATAAGATGACACCCAATTTTTGCTTTGCTACTTCTGGTTTCAAGGGTTGCCTTTTATGCTGACATATAAGGTAATAATGTGTGGAACAAGCAAGCAGGAAGTATGGTTTTCTGAAGTATGGTTCAGAAAAATACTCATATAGCTATCGCATATTTTCAAGTCTATGCATGTCATCCGCAATTTTTCTCAGAAGGCCACAAAACTCCCCCGCCCCCAAAAAATAATCCCATTTAATTATTGAGGGCAAACTCGCAAATGGTTAAATCTGCAAAAGTTAAATATGCAAAGTCAAGGTTTGGCTGTGTGTGGTCTTGGAAAGGGTACTGGTAGCAGAACTGTTGTGCTGACGTGGCCCTGCAGGGAGTACTTTGCTCACTGCTTAGCTGCAAAGCCTGGAGCAGCTTGGGCAGTGAGGGACACCAGGCTCTTCTGAAGGAAGGAGAGGCAGGAGGTGGGGGTCCTAGCTTGCTTCCATCAAGCATCCAGCAAGCAGGTGGAGACTGGCTGAAATCACGGCTTTTTAGCTTAACAACTGGGGTATCTATCAATGGTCAGCCTCTATGACATACTTCTTAACTGTGCGCCTATCTTCCTTTGAAGTTACAGGGACCTGTTTGGACAAAGGAATGCTGGTGGAAAAACACAAACTGAGGCCCAGTTCAGAGAATGAAAATCCTCTCCAGCCAAGCACCCCTGTGGACACAGGGCCATGGCAGACTTAATGTCTTCCCCAGTGCTTTATTTCAGTTACAGAGCAGTAAAACGCAACACAAGAATAAAATAGATCAGTGCAACAAAACAGATAAAATTGGCCCAGAGTATGGTCTAAAGGCACATAAGGCATCCACCATGCTGAAGCTAAGCAGGTCTGGCCTGAGCTGGGGGGGAGACCACCTGGGAACCACATGTAGCCACCTTGAGTTCCATGATGGGAGAAAGATGGGATAGAAATATAATAAATAATACTAAAAACACAACACCAAAAAGTCATTAAAATAGTTAGGTACTTAACCTTAGTATGAGTGGCAAAAAAACCTGAACCTATAATTATTACAATTAATGCCCACTAATCTCTCAATTTATGTAGATTTATGGCAGGAGCACAACCATGTTGACAGAAACTGCTTCTTCACAGGGACTTGATCCAGTACTGCAGATGGCTACTGTCAATGCAGACACATGGGCCACTGAATCTGTGGCAGCATCATGGATTTTAAGTGGCTTAACTCGACCATGAGAGGGAGAGAAGGAAGCACATTCTTCAAATGGTTCCCCTTTTCTTGACTTCCCTTTCTCAATGGCTGAGCTTTTGCAGAGTAACAAGCAAAGGGTGGGAAGGAAAGCAACAGTCTTCTCATGGGGAAGGCAGATTCCGCCTAGAAACCATTTCCACCATCTTATAGCATTGGTCAAGTGTGAGGGAGGGAAGTCAGCAGTAAGTACAGGGAGCCTTCCATATCTTGACTCCTTATTGCAATGCACTGAAAGAGAGACATACCTCGTTCATCACTCAGTCCCAGCTGTCCCGAGGTGTTTTTCCCCCAACCAAATACTGCTCCTGAGAGAGACAAGGCGAAGCTATGTGCTCCTCCTGCAGCAACCTGAGCCAAAGGGATCCCATCAAGTGATTTGACACGCTGAGGACTGGACTGAGAAGGAAATTCTTTCCCGAGTCCGAGCTGCCCATGGTTGTTCTGTCCCCAAGCAAAGAACTGCCCATCTGAAAGCCAGAAGACAAAGGCAGGCCGCAGGAGTGAGAAGAAGAAAGTTCTTGTTATGAAACAGAGCAATGATGACACACAACTATTTTGCTGGGGGAGGCGGAAGGCTAACTGGAATGTGCGGGTGAGAGAGGGGAAGGGATACTGCACCCTGAAGTAATGAATCTGTTATTGATTCTAGTAGAGACTATGCTGGGAAGTCCCTGATTCAAATCTTACCACAGCCATGAATTTACTCAGTGATTGAAAACAAGCTGTTCTCTCTCAGTCACAGCTTTTCCTTGCAATGTAAGACAGTATTTGGATACTAACAGCCATCCATCTATCTTATAATAATAGTATAAGGATTACTCAAATAATGAGCATGCAAGGCTTTGAGGCTTGATGCATTTGGGAGATAATCTGAAACTTCAAACTAATGTTGCAGTCCTAGCAAGAATAGCTTAACTATTAAACATGAATATTACCATACCGGCTGCAAGAGCTAGACAATGGGAATTGCCACACGTGACTTGAAGTATTGTCTCCTGGTTCAGCTTTTTTATTAACCTAAAGAACCAAATATATATAAAGGTTAAAATAGGTGCAGGAGAGATACATAGGACTTGTTCCATCCAGTTTTATAACTTGTATTCATGGTTTAATTTGAAAAATATCGCAGTCAAGTGCAGGCAATGCACAAGTGAATAAGAGGAGAGTAATTATTAAGTGTACTATAACTATGACTGCATCCTGCATCAGTGAAGCAGAGATATTTAAATTAGGGTCCTTGGTGCATTTTCAGATGATTCTCACAAAACAACAGCTACGTATGCTAAAGAATAAACAGGTTTCTCCCACATTCTCCCACATTCTGAAGAGGCCATCTTTTTTTCATTTTATAAGGTACACTGAAGAGCAACTTGCCTCCACAGACATGCAAATGGCTGTAGAAGAATATTTCTATATTTCTTCCTACCCAGCTGATTCCAACAGATTTTGGGGCTACATCTGCTATGAAACAACAAATAAACTACAACAACAACAAATTAAACATCTGAGATTTAATATCAAGTGCAACTATCTACTTGGGTGTAAACAAAAGGGAAAAAAACAAAAAAAGGAAAGTAGTAAAAGGAAAAAGGTTTTTAAAAAGTTGTCTGCACTGAACAAGCCAATCAAATCCTCAGACAAAAAAAAAAATCACTAATCTTAACCTAACAATACAGCAGGATAAGGTGGATGTCATTATTCCACATGAACCAGTGAGGTCTATGCAAGTGTTCAAGTTCCCCAGCAAACATCCTTTCAGATGTTTTTAGTTTAATTGCAGCTAAGTTGCCTTTATTCTTAAACTAGCAGTGATTTAGAATATATCCAGGGCACAGATGGGGAACCTCAGCCCTAAGGGGCAAATCTGGCCCTCCAGAATCCCCTAGATAGCCACCCCGCTTTCCGTGGCCCTACCCCTTTCAACCACCAATGGTTCTGAGATTTCCCAACAAGTGGGCATTTCTCCGTCATTCTAAAAGGTTGAAATGTCTCTCTGAAGGCTTAGGCAATAGCCGTAACAGCTTTAAATTACAATATACTGGTATATTTTTGGTAGTTTTGGTCTCACTCATTTCCTCTTCAAACCCTTCCCCCTCCTGCATCTTTGACCACCTGCCCATGGCTGGAATATATTCTCTGAGGCAAGGGCGGAGAGATCCACCTTCGTCCAGTCTGGCTCGAATGTGCAGCCAAGCAGGGGCTCATGCATACAATCCTCGACACGTGAAAAGAGCAAGTTGAACACTGCCAGTGCCTGGAACCTTCCGCTGGAAACTGAGCACGGAATAAATCACACAGGGAGCAGCAGCATTTGATTGCTGCTACGGTTACCTCGGCACAGCCACGGAGTCTTCTACTGTGGTGAGGCCTAGCTGCCCATCACTGCCCGCACCCCAGGAATAAAGTTGCCCTTGGTCACTGAGGGCGAGGCTGTGGGAGTCTCCACAGGCGACATGGACGATGTGCTGATCTGCCAGAGCGTCAATTTGTTCTGAGGAAAGATGAGAAAATGTTGCCTGCATGCACTAAGTAATCAAACACCCGTTACCCGGGAGCTGCCGTTCAAAGCCAAGAGCGAGGGGAAAGGGAAGGAAGAAAGAGATGGGCGTTAAAATCTTCATTGAAAACAAAGCCTCATTAAAAACTTTTGCCTGTCTTGAAACAATACTGACACTGATGAGAAGCTAGTTGGCCAGGTGTCTTATGAATATTGCATTACATTTATATCCTGCCTTTTTCCCTTCTTGTGAGGAACGCAAGCAGCCTCCTCCTCTCCATTTTTAACCTCACAACAACAGCCCTGTGAAGTGGGTTGGGCTAAGTGTCAGTGACTGGCCTGGAGGAATGCAGTCAGCTTCACAGCTGACTGAGAACGAGAACCTGGATCTCCCAGGTCCCCAGTTCCACACTTTCACCACCACATCACAGTGGCTCTCATTAATTAATTTCCATGTAGCCTGAACTTCCTGCTCTTGCCTAATCTTGGAAGCTAAACAGGGCCAGGCCTGGTTAAAATCTGGAGGGGTGACTTTGCTGTATGATTCTATGATTATTGTTGTAAACTGCCCAGACAGGTTTGGCTACAGGTGGTATAGAAATGTAATAGTAATAATTAGAGAAAGGGTTGTAACTCCATGTGAGAATATTTATTTGTTAGCCAGGAATCAAAGAGCAACTTTCCTCCCAGTGTTTTTAAAATGTAACTAAGCCAGTCATGAATGAAGTGAAGGCCTTGTTCTTCTTCAGTGTTTTCTTCCCATTGTTATCAAGTAGGAATTTTCATGACCAAAACATCAACCTTTTCTAAAATTACTGTTAGGAATGGACAGTTTGTGTGCTTCCAGATGTACCCTCCTACAAGTCCCATCATCCCTTGCCAGCATAGCGAATGATGAGGCATAGCAGCTTTTGTAGGCTGAAACATCTGGAGGAACACAAGTTGCCTGCCCCTCGTTTCATAAAAGAAAGCTATACTATGTTAATTTCTGTAGTGTATCTCAAGAAAAATGACGCATTTGAAAATAGGTACTTGACAGAACTTTTGAGATGGAGGGTCCTCCAGAGATCATCTAGTCCTGTGGTGACGAACGTATGCCACACGTGCCACAGTAGGCACGCAGAGCATGCTTTATCAGCACACGAGCCAACTCACCCCAGCATCGCCCCACAAGCCAAATATTGGATAAGAGCAGACATAGGGTCCATGTGCATGCTCGAAAAGGAGTAGTGGTTCCGAGCAGTGACGTCACAAGCCAGGAAGGATTAGCCGCGACTCGTCCAAGATTTTGCAGGGCAGGTCAGTGCGCTGCCAAGGATATGCATATATTTGCTTGGACTGGCTGTTTTCAGGTTTTATTGTAGAATTGGCACTGTGCAATAAATAAGTGGGCTTTGGGAAGCAGTTTGGGCAATCAGTCTCTAAAAGGTTCACCATCACAGGGTTAGGGTGAAAAAAACGAGGTGTCCTGGCATGATTTTGATGGTTGCAATGTGTTGAGAATGGGCAGAAATGAAGAGCTGTGCAGAAAAAGCTACTCAAGGAAGGCTTTTTCAAAATTACATTATTTTCAATGAAACTTTAGCCGTCTATTAGGGTTAGGGGTGAGCACCAGGTTAGGTTAAGGGTTAGAAAAACTGGGTGTCCTGGCACGATTTTGATGGTTGCAATGTGTTTAGAATGGGCAGAAATGATGAGCTGTGTAGAAAAAGCTACTCAAGGAAGGCTTTTTCAAAATGGCCCTCTTTTCCATGGAACTTTAGCCCACTATTAGGGTTAGGGGTGTGCACCAGGGTAGGGTTAGGGTTAGAAAAACAAGGAGTCCTGGCATGAATTTGATGGTTGCAATGTGTTTAGAATGGGCAGAAATGAGCGCACCAATGTAGGGTTAGGCCAGAGGTGGCAAACCTATTCCATTCATGGCACAGCAGGCTCAGAGAACCCTCTCTGTTGGCTTATGAGCCACGTCACCCAGTATCGCCCCTGCAGCTGAGCATCGGATAACAGTGCATATAGGGGCCATGCGCATGCTCAGAAAGCAGTAGCGGAGCCTGGCAATGATGTCACTTGCCGTGACTCATTAGCTGCAACTCCTCCAAGCTTTCGCATTGCTGTTCATTGAGCTGCCAAAGATATATATGTATATTTGCTTAGACCGGCTGTGAGTTGTGTTTTCTAAAATCAAATCTCAGTTTTCAGGTTTTATTGTAGTGTTGCACTTTGCAATAAATAAGTGGGGTTTGGGTTGCAGTTTGGGCACTCAGTCTCTGAAAGGTTCAGCCATCACTGATCTAGTCCAGCCTTGGCCAGATGCAAGGATATTCAGAGCTAGAGCACCACCAGCTTTCCAACTTCTGCTCAGAAACCTCTATGGAGGCGGACTCATTCACCCTGGTTCCATTGCTGAAAAGTCTGCTTAAAGTCAAGGAGGCTTTTACCCATACAAGTTTCTCCTAATATTCAAACAAAGTCTGCCTCTTGCAAGTTAATCTTACCAGGGCAGCCTCTGCTTTCCAGAGAGCAAAGCCCAATTTTATTTGCACGCCAATCAGGATAAACTGAATAATGATAATTCTGCCAATTCTACCTACTGCAAATGGCTGTTTTTTGTGAAAGATTCATGCAACAGATGTTTGAACTGGGGGAAAAAACCCTGGACATATAAAATACGCATTTTAATGCTGAGTTACCCTGATTCCCAGGAGGAGGGTCTCAACTTGCTAGGAGCCAACCAGAAATAAGCAAGAGGCTTCTATGCAGAAGGTGCTCCATTAGGAGGTTGATGTTGCCATTAAAAGCTTGTGAAATCGAAAAAAGCTGTTCAGAAGAACAGCTTCTCTTCTGTGTTTTAGGCAGCTACACAGATTGGATGATTCACAAGCAGATGGGAGAGCTCCTTCTCCAACCAAATGTAATTTTGGAACTAATAGTCTGTTCCTTTAATGCCACGGGATCCTACGCTGTAGGGAGAGGGGAACAAACAGAATTTTTTACAGAAGGACCTGAAGGCCTTCATTGAAAATTCCAGGATGAAGAAGGTTTCAGTCCTGGAAGAAAAGCGCTTAAAAGAGCACAAATAAAATGAGCACTTCATCTCATAAATCATTCACCTAATTTTCCTCCTACCATCTCTTTTATCTTAATTACACTTGCTGGGATGCATTTGAGATATGCTAAGGCAGAGTATTGGTGAAGTGGGATGGGGGGGGGGACTATCGCAGTGGCAGAGCACCTGCTTTGCATGCAAAAGCTGAGTCCTTGGAATTTCCAGGTAGGGATGGAAAAATCCCTGCCTGAAATGCCAGGCGGCCACTTCCAGGCAGTGTTAACAATATTGGTTTAGATGGGTCCATCACCTAACCCACTAGAAGGCAGCCTTGTGTTTCTGCAAAGTGGATCAACAATGCTTCCCCTAATAGCACCTTCAGTCAAAGGAGAGTTGGATCTCAAGCTGTTCTCTAAAACACCACATTTGCCACAGATAGCCAAGACAGGAGGACATAAAACCCTCAGGTAACATACAGTGACTCAGCTTGCATGCCATGACAACCGACGGTAGGATGTCACCTGTATTTCGTGGACATTACGTGCAAACCCAGCGGTTTCCTAGGTATAGTTTGTTAACTGTGAATAAACCACTCTAAGAATCCATAGCTTGTTCTTGGATTGTTCAAGATAGCTTGCTGTGATTCCTGAACCCAGGAGGCAATTTCCATGGACATTGACAAAGAAACTGCAAATAGGTTAATTTGCTACTTCAGTTTTCACTTGAAAAGTTGGCTTGTGGCATATGAAAACTGTTTAGCCTGGTCAAAACCCTTGCTGAAACAAAAACCCTTTCTTCTGACCGCTGTCAAGAGGGAAAGGGTTGTAGATCTCACATTTCTCAAATACCTAGACTCTCAGAAAATGGAAATGTCTTGGACACTGAAAATGGTCAGGTCCACACTTCAAAAATAGAGGATGAGATCCAAAAGGAGGAGATGTGAGCACCGCTCCTGTTCACAAGCTCCTGTGAGCTTTGTGAAAAACAAAGTAACACATTAACCAGCTGCAGGCTTGCTTTCTCAATGCCTCTGGATGTTGTCTACTGCACTTTATAGAAGACATTTAGTCAGAGATTGACCAGGCAAGATTTCATATTTGGACTAGATGGAGATGCATGCTGACACAACTCTAAAATACCAACCAAAATACATATGGGCAGGGAGAACAGATAATAAAATTATAATGAAAACATAGAAAATAAGATTAAGAATTATTACTATTAATTTCATTTCTATACTGTCACATAGCCAAAGCTCTCTGGGTGAAAGACAGAGAAACAGCAGCAGTAAAACTAATACAATCCAGCAGAGTTACATCATACTATTAAAAGCAGTGATAGCCTCCAAAGACTCAGAAAACAGCATACCTGGTTTGTTTCCTTCCCTCTCATGGCCTAGTTGTCCCTTGGTGATCAAGCCACATGTATAGACTCCCCCATCCTCCAGCAAGAAAACAGAATGATTTCCACCAAAGGCCACTTCTTTGACACTCTTTTCATGAATGAAGCCACTAGTCCTTGGTTCAGGGATAATAGTCTGGAAAGCACTACTTGCCCCGGGATATCCAAAAGACCAATATCCCCAACATAACATCTTCTCTTGTTTTAGCAAGGCATGTAGCTTGATTTTTTTTCCTGGGGGAGGAAAAAAGAGGGGAATGCATCAAAAATTAGCAATCACCTGCAGGCCAGACAAAGCAACAGAAAGTGAGGCCAAAGGAACCCATTTCCTGCCCAGTACTATCCCCATTCTGAATGCATAGGAGCTATTAGTTCTTTCTTGTGGCCTCCATTTCATGGAATAGTTATTCAAAGGATGTGCAGCAGCTTCAAAACATTAAGCCCTTTGCTGGGTCATGAAAAGCATTTATGTTTAGGGAGGCATTTCAACATGAGGTACTTACTAGCATTTACATTTACTAGCAAATGGACCCAGCTTCACACAGGTTACAATAGCTCTCAGTCTGAACAGTGAGGAAGGCATGAGTTTAAAGCTTATTCACACAGTTTAAGTGACGATTTAGTGTTGCATCCCAGTGTGACTCTTCGCTGCACTGGCCTCCTATCTAAAGGTACTCACTGATACAGGCATTCACAAACATTAAGGGGCTTTTCTATCAAGCTCCAAGGATAAGAGCAAAAAATCCCCGACACAGTCAGCTGAAGAAGGCCCTTTCAGTTGAACTTGTGCATCACGTAACAGTTACACACACATACACACACACACGGAAGTAAGAATGTCCACCATTTCAGTCCCGTGGCAAGGTCAGTCCTCTGTATCACATTTCTTCCCACACTACCAGAAGTCCTGATGCTGTGTGCTAAGCCAGCCTTGCTGAACCTGCCTTCCAGATGGGTTGGACTATATATATCTACAGAGCACCAGGCTTGTGAGGGCTGTTCTAAGCAGTGCAGTGATGCAGGACTAGACTCTAGATAAATGGTAAGTTAGTGCATTTATTGGAGGCAAGTTATGCACTGAAAGGTCATTAAAACATGATACATGTCCAGAATCCTATGGCTTCTCAGCATCACCAGAAGGACTGCAGGTTATTCTGGATTCCCAGAGCACCAGTTGGGTAGCCTCAAAACTAGGAAGTGAATTTCCAACCTTTCTCCCAGCTGGAGTGGAAAAAATCATGCCAGCTACTCTCAGAGGTCAGAAAAGCAACCTCAGAGAAAAGAGAAGGGAGGCATTTTGGTGGGCAGGGAAGGGATGAGACTGCAGAGGCACAGGGACAAGATACCCTGAGGCCACTCCAACCCCCTTTCCTCCCTCCTGAAACATCTTTGCTAGACAGGCAATGAGTAAAAATGCGAGGCAAGGAGAAGGTGGCCTCCACTGCTCTCTGGCCCTGCACAGGAGCATCCTAAACCTCCAGGTTCAGGGTATCCCAATCTGAAGTATCACAGCTAAACAAATTTGCAGGGCAAGCATGAAGTCCAAATTTCATGACATGAGTACTCAGAAATGTAAGATTGCTCCCCCACTCCACCACCCCAAGACCTGCCTGTTTACTGAAAACAATTTTAATAAATGATTATAAATGGCAATATAAAACTATCTGGGATAGAGAAGGCTTCTGATCAGAGAATGAATTAAAGTTCCTCAGCACCACCTGGTACATGTACAGGTATAGAAAACAGACTGAAGTTTTAAACACAGTAGGGAGCAAACCCCACCAACTGCAGCATGACATTTTTATTACTACTACTACTAGAGTCCTATAGTTGCCCATAAAACTGTATATTGCATGCTTCGCAAAACAAGAAGTAAAAGTTAACATTTTATAAAATATTTATGGCTAAAGTACAGCTTTGAAAATAATGAATTTACAAAATAAAAAGCTTATTGTAAAAGCCAAAGCTTACAGAGTCAGAGCACAGATTTTGTTTGTGTAAAATGCTGGTGGCAGGGTAAATTAAAAAGTCATCACTTAGCAAGAAAAGGACTACAGAGACGGCACCAGGCAAGCCTCTCTGAGGAGACTATTTCACAAAAGTTTGCCACCATAGAGAAGGCATCTTACTAGAGCCATTTTCACAAGGTCACTTGACAAGGGGCACAAGGCCAACTTTAGCAGCACAGAGGAAACTAACATTCCATTGAATATATATGGGAGAAGGTGATCTTTCACTATCTTCTGAGTAGGCATGTTGGCTTATACCATGCAAAAATAAAATTGAAGTCAGTGATAGCTAGAGCAAGTAGTAACTGAACTGTATGAAGGCAAAGAGTGAGTGATTAAAACACCAGTTTAAAACTTTGACTAACAGGTATCATTTGACTATTTGAGGCAGAATCTCAAGTTTTAATCCATACATGAATCCACTGAAACTGAGGATAGTTTAAGTTAATTAAGGTAAGTATTAATCAGCAGGGTCAAAAATTAAGAACATCCCTTTAAAATAAAGACAAGAGCACCCACACACAAAAAGAGAGAGGAAATATACATATATATATATATATATATATATATATATATATATATATATATAGAGCAAAAAGCTAAGGCAGTTTCAACTGGGTTTGATAGCTTAGCTTCTTTTTTTTTTTAACATATCTTATTTTCCATCCATTGTAAATCACTTTGTGAGGGGGTCTCCCTGAAGGGCAATCCACAAAAAGCAGACATGATAGCCACAGCTCAGCTTACAGAAACATACTCTCCTGTCTCATTTTTGCACTTCTTGGTTCATAATAATCCTTGTTTGTCATGCTAAACAAAAATGAATAATCCAAAATAGGGCAGCAAAGACATAACTCTCTCTTGCACTTTTTTATTACTTTTTCATCAACATAGCTTTCTGGTGTTCCAAGGTGCTTTTCATCCATATTGACTAGCTATACTCCTAATACAAGAACCCTGTAAGGAAAGTCAATACTATTTCCCGTATTGTGGATGAAGGAACACACACATCACCCAGTCCAAATGATTTTGCCTTTCTGATTCATACAAACACACAATGCCTGCACTTGTGGCATCAGATTAAAATCAATCACACAGGCAATGAGTATGGATGGCCATAGATTTGTTCCTGAAATAGCAATCTGTCTGCAGCAACCCTCCTTACCAAGGAAAATATCCATCGCTTCTGAACACTTCAGGCTTCTTACTAATATTATATCACATTTATACTCTACCTTTCTTCCTCTTGCAAGACAGCCAAGGATGTTTGCATGGTCCTTCTCCTCTCCATTTTATCCTCACAAAAACAACCCTTTGAGGTAGGTTGGGCTGAGAGTCTGCAAGTGGCCCTAAGTCACCCGAAGAGCTTCATGACCAAATGAGAGCTAGAACCAGATCTCTTGAGTACTGAGTCAAGGCTACCTCAGGAACTCACAGAAAAGGTAATATTTTAAACAGGGATCTCCAGCTGTACAGTTTATAGCCAGCATGATGGGAGTTGTAGTCCAAGGCAGTTGGAATGGTGGAGGAAAAGCTGCCGGACAACCTCCATGTGCTTGAGCAAATGTATTCTGTGGCAAGGAGGGGGTGGATGGAGGGATAAGACAAAATGCGGTACAGTATGCCAGTTGCAGACGGCACAAGATCTGGGAAGCTCCACTGCATTCTCGGTTCGCGGTTTCTTGGGCATAGCCTGTTCGTTTGTTCTCTGTTGGGAAAACACATGGCGGGGCAGAGTGGATGGATGCTGAAGCGCATCCGAGTGCACGCCAGCAGGAGCACGTACATCCAACAGGCGAGCACCACTTTCAAGCCCATGGAAGCAGCATGTGCCTCCAAGAGCACGTGGACTCACGCCTGCCTCCGCCTCTCTGTGGAGCTTTCGGCCAGCCAGGGAGCGACTGATGGCCTTTCCATCCGCGGCAGTGCCCCTTAAGAGCCAGCCCCACGCCAGCATGAGAAGCAATCACCCCAGCCTTCCATGGGGGAGGGAACAGAGTCAAGATGTAAGGCTTAAACACTGCGCCTTCCCCAGTTCAGCCCTGCTTTAAATACATGCGTGCGTTTATACATGTCAGCAAGGGTGGTGCTAAGTGCCGAAAAGATCTGGGCTACAGAACGAGAAAGCACAGTGTGTATGTGCTCATTTACATATGCTGTAGTCTGGGTGTCTGTTGCCTCTATCTGCATAAAGGGATCTGTGTCCAGGGGAGAGGAAGGCAATTGATGTCAGAAAAAAACGAAATAAAAACTTAGACAGAAAGATTCGGGGGGGGGGGGGGGGGGCGCAGGATGTGAGGCAGGAAACCAGCCTGGGAATCCAGCGAGATCAGATGCAACACATTCCCGGACAGCAGGATTATGGGGCAGATGCCCCCCCCCGAGATATCCGGCATTCCAAAAGAAAGCTTTGGGGCTCCAGACCTAGGGGGCTGCCTTTGCACCCCTGACACCTTCTGTTTAGGCTGGGCGGGGATGTCGAGAATTGCAGCCCAACCCGCTCGGGGACCCTCTTAATCTGAAATGCCCGCTAGGCTGCTTGGGGAAGGCCCTCCCGACACATCTGTGGGGTGCCGAGTTAGGGAAGGGCTGGCTTGTGCCACGCAGAGCCGACCTCTTCACCTGAAATGCCCGCCCTTCTGCAAACGGGCTCAGCTTTCGCACGCTCGCAAACTGAGCGAGACCATCCGGCACTACTGGAAACGGCCGCTGGTGGGAAGGAGCGGGGGGATGCACGGACCATCTTGATCCCATAGAGCTGGGGCTGGCTAACGGGGAAGCAGGACCGGGGCGGTGCTGAGGGAGGGGATGGAGCAACGTCATCCCCAGGCATTTCCCAAGTCCAGGAAAACTAGTCGCCATCCCCACCCCCCATATCTTCCCGTAGGAAAGAGCGTCCCACCTCCTGCCTCGCCCAGAGCAGATCTCCAGGGCTGACGTGCCAGCTGGACCAAGCAATTTCTGCTCTCTGATAACCCAGTACGTGCACGGAACGTGCAATTCTTGCACAGACAGACACACACACCCAGAATGAGTCTGCAAGGCCTTAGAAACATGCCTGAAAAACCAATTTGTCTAGCAGCATCTCTCCTCCCCACCCGTCGCGTCTCCATCACTCCGGGCTTAAAACAAAGCAAATCAGGTCAGAAAAGCCAGCAAACGTCTACAAAAGAATTAAAAAGGTCTTGCAAAGGCTGGTGCTGGAAAGTCTGAAGGTAGCACTTGCTTTTTCAAAAGCCCTTCCTACAAGGAATTGGGGGCATACTCCTGGAGGGAGGTCTCCTGCGGCTCCCGTTGGTTTGGATGGTTGTTTGCGCAGGAGAACGTCCCTTCAGATCACTCCCTACGCGATTTGATATTTTCGACGAAAAGCAAAAGAGAAACCTTTATGCAAAAGTAGCCACCCACACAGCCAGCTCGGGACCTTTATCCTCATTACATAAGAACAATTAGAGAAAGAATGGGGGGGGGGGGAGAGGGGGTTTCTGTAAGTAAATCCAGGTGTATCTTCCTCCTTCCCATCTTTCGGGCCTTTGAACAGCAATCTCTACACAAGTCTACTAAGCCCATAGAGATCATTTGGTACTTACTCCCAGATATTATTACACTAATAGCACACCTGTCTTCCAACTCAAGCAAGCGGCTACATGGGACTCCCTGGTGTCTCCCCTCCAAGCGCTGACCAGATCCAATTCCCTTAGCTCTACCGAGCTGCCTGCCTCATGTACCTGCAGACCATGCCCAGGTAAGATTGCATAGCAACTCTCCCCAACCTGGTGCCCTCAGGATGTTTGGGACGTCAGTCCTCGTTATTCCCTGCAGGCGTGGCCACTCGACAGGAGTGCTGGAAAATATCGTCCAAAACATCTGGAAGGCATCTGATTGGGGAAGTCTGGGGTACGTAATTGCTACCCATCTCCTCACTTCAGTACTTGGACGGCTAAAGTTAAAAAAAGGCCAAGAGAATTCAGTGCACCCATTCTTCCCCACTAATTAAATTAGGAGCCCTTCTTGTTCTTCTCCTTCCCCTCCTGCGAGAAGAGGGAAGAAAGGAAAAAGAAAAAAGGGGATCCCATACTAACAAAACAGAATGAAGCTGGCTGTAGTTTCTAGGAGGTTGCTTGGGCTGCACTTCTATTAAAATTGCAATTCTATATCCAAGCCTTCCCCAACCTGGTGTTTTCCCGATGTGCTGGATCACAATTCACATTATTTCCAAGAGCTGCCCAGATAAATTATGGGCAAAGTTGTCCAGCACATCCCGAGGAAGCCAGAGTGGGGAAGGCTGCTAAAGTCGCTTCGGGATGCCACCTTCGCAACCCTCAGCAGGCTTCCTTCCGTGCACAGGCGCCTAGGAAGGGGTTGCACGACCGCCGAAAGCTGAGCAGAGAAGCACACCCGTCTCCTCCCCCCATAGAAGCCTGCAAAAGTGAGCCGGCTCCTCCAAGAAGCGCAGTCCACGACCCTGAAGCCCCGTTTGGAATGCTCACCGGCTCCAGCTGTGGCTCCGGCTGCTGCACCCGGGGACTTCCAGATGCTGGCGCAGCGTCACAACAACAAGGAAGTTTTCCTTCCCCCAGCGAAGAGAGAACGCGAGCCCTCTCCAAATGATTGACGTGCCCCCTGCCCCATCCAATGGGAAGCCACGGAGCTTTCTCCATCACCACCAATCGCTGCTGGGCAGAGAGTGACGCGAAGGAGAAGTGGGCGAGACTCTCGTTTTGAGGCGGGGAGAGAAGACCCGAGGACCTTAACCCCTGAGGCGCCGCAGACGTGGAAGGAGCGGTTGCCTAGTCAGAGGGTGGATGGTGTGCAAGTCTTAGGGTTACACAGAAATACTCATCAGGCGAAAGTCTCCTGCGGTGCAGGCTCATCATATGCATGCCCCACTGTAGTCAGTTTACTGGATCTCCTTATAAAGGGAATTCATACCCGAATGATGTACAGCGAGGATATTGGATCGCTCACAGCCTAAGGGCCAGTTTTGAGGAAGCTCATATGGCGGCGGACGGGACCGAATGCAACGGGGCAGGACCAAATACTAGTTTATTTTCGCGTAAAGCTTTTGCTGCAAGAGGACTTTTAGCTTTTTAGAACGGAGAAAAAGCTATGCAAAAGCAAGGAAACGACTGACGGGAAGGAAGGGGTGGGTCCAAGAAAGGGGAACCTTTGAATCCTTGTTTGGGTTCAACAACTCTCAGGTACAGAAAGGAACAGCACAGAGGCTGCGTGGGCATGTGCATTGGGATTGCTGATAAATGTGCATGATGAGCGCATTTAAGGTTTATATAAATTCTTTCACCATAAATTGTGCCATGGGGAAAACTGAAAATTCATTTTCAGATGAATTTGAAATGCAGATAACAAGAAGTCTAACTCCAGGCCTCTTTCCGGCTAGGATAAAATGTAAATTCTTTAAAGGGGTTCTTTCCTATGTTTTATATTGCATTTATTGGGATGTGATTCATTGACAAGAGACAGACTGCAGGCATATACTCCTCAGAGAAAGCCTTATTGAACTCAACAGACCTTACTTCTGAGTAGACAGGTATGATTTGCCATGTAAAAGGAGCTCTTGAGCATTACTTGGTCCATGCATATTGTGTGTACATAGTACTCAGCAACTGATAGTATTAGCAACATTACAGCAGACTTTTTAGGGGATTGTCTGCATACAAGGTGTATGGAACCATCTTTTGATGTTATATTTGTTTTTTTAAAGTTCTTGGGTGTTCCTCAATGAAAGAACCACTAAGCACAGTAAGATTTGCTTCTGAGTCAGTATGCCCCAGAGCATAATGTAAGGCTGTAATTGTGTACATGCTTCCTACGCTTCCTCGAGATTAAGCTCTACTGAATGGGCCTTGTGACTGGACAGGACTGCACAAAGCATAGGGAAATTGTGTTTCTAGTTCTGAGGAGAGTCCATGACAAGATGCACAATATTGTTCTGAACTCAGCCTAACAGCCAGCAAGTGATTCAGTGGAGAAAGAAACCCTGCAGGTGCAGGGGAAGCATAGAAGGCAAATACTCTGGAATTAATTGGATGGCAGTTCATAGGAACCAGGCATGACTCACAAGCTGATAGAGGTGTGTGGGTATATGAGATTGCAGAGTCAAAAGAGCTACTTACAATAAACCACATACTTGAGGAAAGTCTCAATTCCCCTTTCCCTTCATCCTGTTGAATGATCTTTTTAAAATACTTTGTTGACTTGCTTGTTGGGCGGCATCCTTCAATATTATTTAATAAAAACTAATTACTCTAGCATTAGCATGTGACATTCATTTGGCTGTTACATACATTCAAGGGTGCAGGTCATGGGCTGCTGTGATATGTGCCATCAAGTCATCTCCACCCAAAGTGCCCTATTTATGACAGCCTTGCTCAACTTTTTGACGTTCAAGGCTGTGACTCCCTTTATGGAGTTAATCCATCTCATATTTGATCTTTCCTTTCTTCGTCTGCCTTCAACTTATCCTAGCAAGATCGTCATAGACTATGTACCCAATCATTTACTCAATTTATATACATGTATACATTTATTTACTGCATTTTAATCCACCCAATAACAAATGCTGGCTGGGCTCAATACAATTAGTGAAAGGTAGACTGTACAAGACAACGTAATAAACAACAGGATACAGAAGAACAGCTTGTACCCTGCAGCTTCTCTGGAAGTCATAAATACGTCCCTGGAAATCCCTTGCCATTAAGCACACACAGTAGCTTTGCAACTGCCAGAAGGAGGATGGCCGCTGTATGAATGAACAGTGCTACACTTGAGGAAATTAGGGCCCAGTTCTGGCTTGAGGGCTTGTTTCACATACAAGGAGATCTGACTGTGGATTCAACAAAAAAGATGGTTCTCCTCCAGAGATGCATGCCGTAGAAACGTAGGAAGCCATTCATACCAGCTCTGATGAGCTGCGGCAGCATAAGAGCATATTAAGAATGGAGTTCTTACAAAAACCCACTGGAGCAAACGGCCTTCTACAAAGAGGCAGCAACAGGCCAGGCTGTCCCGAAACGAGGGTGCTGCAACAGAACAAGCCCTATTTTGTATATCAACCTTTTGGGAGGATACCCAAAGCTGGCCTCAGAAGTAGAATAAGATGCAAATTGGCACAGAGCACTGCAGTCTTGTAATAGTTTGGTTTTGACAACAGTCAAACCCATTTAACCAAGACCATTTAAGGCTCAGTGAAGTGAGTTGAAACAAGTGCCTTGAACTGAACCTAGAGACGTATTGGTATCGAGGGAAGTTCAGTGGAATGACATGATCCTGTCAATCAGCTCCAGTCTGGCAGATCCATATTGAACCATTTCGAGTGCAGATCTACATACAGCCCCCTGAGATCCAGTTGGTGGCTGCTCAATGAAATATTTTCAGGTTCTGGACCGACTCTGCCTACCTAGGCTGGCCACTGGATCCTCTTTGAAAGGGATTAGAATAAGAGAGGCTGCTTAGGCCAGGTTTCTGGATTACTTAATTCAGTCTTGCTAGGCCTAGGGAAATCTTGCATTCCGAAAACAGCAGGGTGGTCCTGATGGACTAAAGGAACCTTGCCCAACCTCGCACCTCCCAGATGTTTTGGATAATGGACATTTGCATAGGGGACATTGGACATTGTAATCCAACATTTCTAGAGGATGCTAAATTGAAGAAAGTGAAAGTAAATAAAATGGATGCCAGTAATGGGATTGTCCAGCACACAGTGCAAACTGCTTGGAACACAAGTGAAGCAGCCAGTTTGAGAATCGGGGCTTCTGGATTGATGACAAGGATAAGAGCATAGCTAACAACTGGGACTGACATTCTCAGGCAACAGTGGGCAAAAGCAAAGCATTATTGAGTTCTTCTGAAAACATTCTATGAAATGTGTCTACATGGATGGAAGGCAATAGCAAAGCTGTGCTTAATGCACTGATACTGCTTTCCCTGGGAAGGTTTTGGATCCAGACTGTGGGTAGAATTGGATACCTCAGAGCCCAGTGCAACACCAGAATGATGTCAGAGATTTGGACATATCTCTGATCAGCATAATGCCTAGATATTTAGAAGGGAGTTACTGGGCTCTTTTTCCATTTCCTCCTTTCCCCTTCTCCTCTCCCTCTGCTGTTTCACCTGTGTTACTGGAGGTAAAAAGATCTTGAGGCTTGCTGCATTGGTTTGGTAGCTATCAAGGGTGATGCAAACCCGCTAAGCAGTATAGAATGACTGGGGGCATAATTCTATGCATGCTTAGCTAGAAAATAGTGGGGAATATGGCTAATGAATGTTGGGAGTTGTGGGAGTTTTTCTGCCTAAACATGCGTAGGTTTGCACACTAGGCATGTTTTCAGGTGTTTCAAATTATAGAGACTGGAGCAGGTGAGGGCAACATGGACCCTGCAGCCTTCATATTGCCTCTGAGGCCCCAACATTATTTTTTAAAAATATTGGTGGGTGGAGAGAACGGTGTGCATTGAGCTACAGAATGCCCCAAACATTGCAGAATGTTACAAACAACAAAATTTTGACCCTTGTGCACTTTAGCCATGGCAGATGCATTTTTAAAAAGTAAAATTTTAACTTTTCTGTTTTTCTAAGCACCCACATGGCAGACACTGCAGTGGTGGATGAAGCTCACCTCTCGACCCCCCCCCCCCCCCCCCCAATGCTGCCGACCCCTGGGCAGGAGAGAATTCCTGGAGAGAGATGTGGTGAAAGACTCTGGATAGCACAAAGAATGTATTCATTCTTATTCAATGTATTCATTAGCTGCCAACTTCCACATGTAATTGCTGTGATTCTTTTAGTCACACTGTACTGCCTTGATGGATTTTCCTTGATGTCCTTATGTAATCATTTAAACACACACTATTTCTTTATTGTCATCATTGCGTACGCAAACTGTTTAGTATGTCTCTTGAGTCTGAGACTGTTGTCAATGATTCAGCTTTACCCACCCAGATATGAATCACAGAGAGCTTCAGCTATTGTGTGGCATTAAAAAGCAATAAATAAATAAACCCAGATCAACAGCTTAATTCTGTATCTTACTTCTGGGTGTGTAATTCTGTCCTGTGTTGTTCTTTGGACTTGACACTACCTTTGACCAGAACTCCTGGCTTATCATGACCTGTAGCCCATGACCCGGGCATGAAATGCCCATTGGCAGGATGCAGGGCATGGGTGGCAAGAAACAAGGACAGAAGGGGAGGCAGGTAACAGGACCCCAAGGCAAGATAAAGTTCAGCACCGTGCAAAGTCCAATAACAAGCCCAAATCACGGTCGCAGAGCAGGCAGAGGCCAGGAGACAGGAGTGCATCATGGGGCAAGGCAAAAGTGTGGCCAGAAGCCAGCCAGAGGTCCCTGACTGAGAGACAGTGTGGTGTAGCGGTTAAGAGTCCAGGACTGGGACTCAGGAGCTCTGGGTTCTAGTCCCCACTCAGTCAAGGAGCTCATTGCAACTCAGGGCCAGTCACAGACTCATCCCGATCTACTGCGCAGAGCTGTTGTGGGGTTAAGATTGAGAGAAGGAAGAGAACTGGGTATGTTTCCTGGAGTCCCTTGAAAGGAAAAAGGCAGGATATAAAT